GTCAACACAGGCCAGAAGGGGCTCGTGCAGAAGATCGACAGCGTCATTACAGCGGCAGCAAGGATCGTTCTACCTGTCTGGAGGACAACGCCAACCAGTAGCCTCCTCCGAGACGCCGGCTTACCGTCAGCCAAAGTCGCCTTAGAAGGCGTCCGTTTACGGGCCGCAGTCCGACTACAGAGGATTGATCGCCGACACCCGCTAGTCGCGCGGCTCTCCCAGCAGGGACAGCAACAGACGAGACTACAACGGACGGCTGAACTTCTGCCAAGATGCGGAAGACCAACGTTCCTCCAATCACAGTACCTGCCAAGCTCACAGGATCAGATAGTAGTTCAATGCAAAGAAGAGGCTGCGAAAGCTTTCGAGCGCTGGCTAAAGACAGTACCGGAAAGCCATATGATCGTCTTCTCGGACGGCTCCAGGGCGACGAACGGAGCCGTGGGGTACGGCTTCGTCATCTACCGAGACTCCAAACGCATAGCGCAAGGGTGCGGCCGACTCGGACTAGCAGAAGTGTTCGACGCCGAGGTCGAAGGGGCGCGAACCGGCCTCAGAAGGGCTCTGCTCACCAATCGCGGTCATCCAATCCACATATGTATCGACAACACCAGCGTTATACAAGGCATCCGCGGCAAGGCGCCGGACTCGTCACAAGACGCGTTCCTCGAAATCCAAGAAGCGGCCAGGATATTTGATATACGGACGCACTGGTCCCCGGGACACCAGGGCATCGAAGGAAACGAGGCCGCGGACCGGCTGGCCAAAGAAGGAACGACACTGCCGGCGCGGATGGGTCAAATGGCAACACTAGCGGGCATCAAGCGGCTTGCAAGGGAAAAATTACAAAGCCAGCACAGGAGATGGTGGTATAAAGAGCGAAGGCCGCGGTACGCGGACTTGGGGCTTGAGGCAGCTCTGTCCAGCCCTCCTGAACTGGCCTTGCCGCGGGCTACGTTACATCACCTGCTGGCGGCACGATCGGGTCACGGGGACTTCGAGCAATATCACCGACGTTTCAACCACGACGACGCTCTAATGATGTGCTCTTGTGGAGAGGCGAAAGACGTGGACCACCTGGTCTACTGTCGACTAACGCTGGCGAGGAGGCAACGGTGGCCGACCCTCCACTCTCGCAGTATGCCCGAGCCCATAGGTCCTATGGGATCTCTCGAGGCCTACTTCAAGAGATTAATCACCGACCCACGAGGCTTCGAGGCCTTTCTCCGCGTGACGGACTTCTTCCAGAAGATCTGTCTGCGGTAGCAGCATCCACACCTAGGTAGATGTGAGTGCGGACTACAAAGAACCTCCCGATTCCAAGGGACGATTTGGGAAAGAATGAAACTGGGGCACCAGCGGGAACCGGGGACAGACAGAACGCGTAGTGGCCACAAGGCATGATTTGGAGGACGATGTAAAGAGACGACGTACTGTAGAGTAGGTAGCCTTGGCTCACGGCCCTCCACGCCATATACCCTTCGGGAGGTCTGCGGTAAGGGCTCTAGCCCGGCCGCCACGGCGTTAAATACAACAACAACAACAACAACAACAACATCGAGAACACCTAGGGTTTCAAGCATTCATCGCTAACTCAAGGCTAGTCCTCTTGGACCCCAACACGTACCTATACTTGAATGCAACGTTCCAGAGAAACCAGAGCCCACCCCAGACATTCCCAGGCGAGTACAGCAATGACTTGGTTGCTGAAAGAGCTCTCGGCTTCTTGGATGATGCTCTCAAGTCCAACGGCAGCAAGCCTTTCTTCTTGGGTGTTGCACCCATTGGTCCTCATAACAACGGACTTGGCGGCGAGACCAGTGCTGGTGCGACGCCGCCCATCCCTGCGAAGAGGCATGAGAACCTCTTCTCAAACGTGACTGTTCCTCGCACTTACAACTTCAACCCCGATAAGGTAAGACTACCAATACTTGGTCAACATCATTCGTCGCTCACGCTTCTTCCATAGCCGAGCATGGCCAACTGGGGTCTCATCATTCCCCAGCTGAACGCCACCGAAATAGCGTACGGTGACCACTACTACCGCCGCCGTCTCCAAACACTGCAGTCCGTTGATGAAATGGTCGACGCCGTCATCAAGCGTCTCGATCAGGCCGGTGTCCTCGACAACACCTACGTCATCTTCACGTCTGACAATGGTTTCCACATCGGACAGCATCGCCTCAAGCCAGGAAAGACATGCGCCATTGAAGAAGACATCAATGTGCCCTTCTTGATCCGTGGCCCCGGCGTGCCAAAGGGCAAGACTGTGGACTTTGTCACGACCCACACCGACATTGCTCCTACGATCTTCTCCTTAGCTAACATCACCTTGCGTGAGGACTTTGATGGATCTCCTATTCCCTTCTCCGAAAATGGAATCCAAAAGGCACAGAATGACCCTAAGCATGACCATGTCAATGTTGAGTTCTGGGGTACTCAACGCGGGTATGACGCTTTTGGTTTAGGTGAGTGAATTTGACTCCGATTGCGCTGTCTCAAAGCAACGAGACACTGACGGTTCAACCAGCATCTGCGAACAACACTTACAAGGCCATGCGTGTCCTCGGCGACCGATACAGCCTGTTCTACTCAGTTTGGTGCAGCAACGAGCGCGAATTCTACGACATGAAGGTATGTCCGACTTCTAGAAACTTCCCAAATCATGACCTGTTACTCAGTTCTTGTTGTAGAAGGACCCAGGCCAGATGACCAACCTCGCCGGAAGCGGTTCAGGCCAGCTCCTCGATCGTCCCTTGTCCGTCGTTCAGGACCGTCTCGATGCCCTTTTGTTAGTCCTCAAGAGTTGCAAGGCCGAGACTTGCAGGCTTCCATGGAGGCACATCCATCCGGAAGGTGGCGTCGAGAACCTCCGGGATGCACTTGATGCCAAGTATGACGAGTTTTACGCCGGACAGCCCAAGATTTCCTTTTCGGACTGCAAAGACTTTTACGACATTGCTTCTGAGGGAGCGCAGGACACCTTGGTTTATTACGACCCGTGAGTCTCAGTTATGGAATATTTGTGACTGAGGATGGGTGCTGAGTCAGTTTGAAGTGCGATGTTTGACGAAGGTTCTGTGGACAAGTCATCGCTATCGGAAGAGCTATAGTATTCGAGACTTGAGATCAACATCCGCTGATCGGCTTTGCACCCGAGGAGCCGTGCGGCTTAGTGCCGACAGTATGAGTCAAATACGAGAACAGTAGAATGCACTCTGCGTAAGGTCGGTGGATTGCACGAGATTCTGAGGCCTGATATGACGAATGTGAGAAAAAGGCACTTTGCCCATGCTAAGAGCCCGGTCTCGGTCCGGTCACTTATGCCGATCGCCTAAGACACCGAGGTGTCTTGAAAAAATGGGACAAATCCGTATACTCTCATTGGCTCTCCGCACTTTTGCTTAAAATGCCGAAAGCCGTCAACGTCTCAATAAAAGACCTAACTGCTTCGCATTCTTCACCATTAGTCATTGTGATCTCCTCAAGAGTCATTAGGGTCAAACGCTGTAAATTTGTTCCCGTGGTTGCTCGTCTTCAAAAGGAAGCAGGCTCCGTGTCATAAGCTATAGACGTCGGATCTCTTATCTAGCAATTCAAACTACCTTATGTTCAGTCCAGAACATCGGCTGCTTGATTACCTTGCGTTTGAGCTCTGTTCTCAGGATCGATGGCCACGAGAATTTCAGATCTCGCCCAAATGGACAGCGATAATTACGACTCCCAGTCGGGCAATGATGTCGAGAAGTATTCTGCGCCTTCGGCATGGCCACCAACCGACCGGGACCCTTTCGAGGTATCCTTCGATGGGATCGACGACCCTTTTTGTCCGCATAGCATGTCACTGTTTCGGAAGTGGGTCATCGTTATAATACTATGCAATGTAACGATTTGCGTGTAAGTAGAACCCTCCGAAGGGGATCTCTAGTCTATACCAGATGGAGCTGATACTGACCATCGAATCACCCAGTACCTGCACTAGCTCAGCATACACATCCACATACACCCAGATGAATGCCGAATTTGGCACATCGTCTCTTGTCTCCACCCTCGGACTGTCCACGTTCCTCTTAGGTATTGCCTTCGGACCACCAATGATCAGCCCTTTGAGTGAGTATTACGGACGACGTCCCATCTACCTCGGTACATGGTCTCTTTTCATCCTTTCGACAATTCCTTCAGCCGTGGCAAAGAATATCCAGACCATACTGGTTACTCGATTCTTCAGTGGTGCCTTTGGCGGTACCTTCCTCTCAGTGTCGGGAGGGACCGTGGGCGACATCTTCCTACCACACCAAATCCAACACCCCATGTCCCTTGTGTCGCTAGTGCCGTTCATGGGGCCTTGCGTGGGCCCAATAGTTGGCGGATTCATCAACTACAATATCAACTGGCGTTGGACGTATTATATCATGATCATTTGGTCTTCGATGTTGATGGCCATCATTGTATTCTTTACGCCCGAGACCTTTCACCCAATCAGGTTATACATGAAAGCCAAGCACCTCCGCCGGCAGACTGGCGACGGCCGGTATCGAGCGCCGATGGAGAAGAAGAGCGGAGATGTTCAGCCCTCAAAGCTTTCCATCATCGCAGCCTCCATGCTACGACCTTTGCAATTCAATTTCTTGGAGCCCATGTGCCTCTCCCTCAACGTATACTCGGCCATTCTACTTGCTATACTATACTTATTCTTTCTGGCGTTCCCACGCCTCTTCCGAACAGAATATGGAATGAATCTGTGGCAAGGTGGTCTTACATTCCTTGGCATTATTGTCGGCATGTGTTTGGCTGCAGCATCATCACCAGTCTGGTCCAACATCCGCACGCGACTTGTGGAGAAGCACGGGGCTAGTGAGCCGGAGTTTCGACTACCGCCGGCCATGTTGGGCGGGTTCCTGATACCGATCGGCTTATTCTGGTTCGGCTGGACAATAAGCCCTGATATCCATTGGATAATTCCCATTATTGGATCTGGCGTCTTCGGCTGCGGGTAAGTTAATTGACTCCATTGAACATGTACAAATTGAATCGGGGAGATGTCCATAATCTTCCTTACTTAATAGTTATCCCCTTATCGGAGACAAGGAAGTACTTTGCCATATTTAAGCTAATCATTCCGATGTTACAGAACGGTTCTAGCCTTCACTGGCATTTATACCTTCCTCGTATGTTGGAGATGTGTCCTTCTATCTCATGATTTTGTATTACTGACCACACTTTCAGATCGATGCATACGCAAAGTATTCTGCATCGGCATTGGCGTCTAATGGACTGACTAGGTGCTTGTTCTCTGGTAAGTCTTGTATTTTCACTATGTCACAAGCTTTTCAGCCCTCTAACTCTGTGCGACTATTCCAGCTGCGTTTCCATTATTTGGCGTGCAGATGTATGATAAGCTCGGTCACCAGTGGGCAACAAGTCTTCTTGCATTTCTTACAGTTGTTATGATGCCTTTCCCTTGGCTGTTCTTCAAGTACGGCAAAGCTTTGAGAGGGAAGAGCAAGTTTGCGCTTCACGACAAAATGTAAAGCGACAGAGGCAGTCCAAAAATATATATAATTGTAAGCAATGTGCAAGTGAAGGCTGTACAAGCTTTTTCGAATTTGGCTCTGGTATGGGAAGAAGTTTCCAAACTAATAGTATGTTCCCATGATAAGTTCACTCACGACAACGCACTCTTCCCGAAGAGTCCTTCGATATACTTTCTCGTCTCTTGGATGTCACACCCCGCAAGGACCCATCCATCTGGACTTTGCGCAGCCGGTGCTCCTGCTGAGACTCGAGGAGGTTGAGTCGGGTTCTCCTCACTTGTGTCGCACAAGGCCGGCAGAAGTCTCATTGCGTAACTACTACGGTCCTTGCTCTCGTTGTCAAGATATTGCATTACGATTGCCATGTGATTCGCGTCTCCTAGCTCTAGTGTGGGCGCCGGTTTCCCGGTAAACTCTTCGATTAGGATATCGCGAACACGGGAGTAAGCTAGAGAATGGGTCTTAGTCATATTGTTCTCCTAAAAGCAAGCTGACAATGACTTACATCTTGGTGAGTCCTGTGCAAACTGTTGACTCGAAACGGCACTCTTGAGCATGTTCAAGATTTGAACTCGTAGAGTCGTCTCCTTCAATCGAGATGACACAACCTGAGTCATGAATTCCTCTGAAGCGGGTATCTGTTGTAGTTTCGCTGCTTCGTCTGCGTACTTGTTGGCTAGAGTGATGAGGCCGGTCCAGAAAGGATCCCGCAACGCCATTAAGATGTCTTCTTCAGGGAAATACTTCCTGCACCAAGACAGATCCTGAGAGCCAGCTCCGGCGTTGGCGAAAGAAGGGACGTTCTGGGTAAAGATCACTCGAGCGCTGGGATGCCTGTTGCTAAGGCGCGCCTGAAGGGTCTTGTGAAACTGAACTTGTCTCTGTGATAGAGCTAGTCTACTCGCTCGGTCCATGTCGTCGGTGGCGATGCCTTGTCGGGAGTTGTACCCAAAGAAGAGATGGTAGATGTTGATGTTGGGCAATGCATTGATGAATTCCCAGACGTCATTATCTTCACAAGGCGCGACCTGGAAGATGTCGACGGAGGAACCTCTGCCGACTTTGACGACTTCTGCCATTAAAGACTCTCCCGTTGCCACGGGAAGCTCTTTGGTAGGTCGAAGGTTCTTGTACCAGCTTTCGTGGGGCGCTGCCTGACCCAGAACATTGGTCCTTGTCTGAAGCCATGCAGTTCGTGTTTCCCACCCAGCTGGTAAGGCGGGCTGATGCTTCTCGGCGCGGGTAAGATACTGGGACATCGCAAGGCCCATTTTGCTGCGTTCTTCAGCGCCTGTGAAGACTAAAATAACGCGGTCGTACTGAGGCTTAGTAGGGTTCTCGGCATTAGTTTTCATGAGTGCAATAGCAACACCGGCCTTGTCGTCCATTTTCGAATCCGTTAAGACAACCGCTACCCTAGCCGCCATGACCGCATGGCTAGCGATCCAACAAAGGACTGCAAAGAATAAGAAGTGACGACTCATTTTATTATGTCGAGCTGACGATGCTCAATGTTCACTTCTCTCAAGACTGAGCCAGATTGGCGTCACTGATCAGTGCGACTAGTCTAGGTACTTTATATAATCAGTCGGCCTCACAGCATCTGCTTTCAGGTGGGCAACTGGGGCCCACGAAAGGTCAAGCGTCGTATTAATCAATGATCAGGTAGTATACCATATGATTCGCCACTCATAGACTTCTATCACAAAGTCTATTATGGAGACGACAGATTAGAACCCAGAGCTTGTTTGCAAACATCAGCCGGTCAAACTTTGTGACGAGCAATGGGTTCTCAGGCAACTTCTATTAAGTGTGGAAGTTTATTTTATTACTCTCAAAAGGGCCGACCCGCCGTCCCGGCCTCTCCGGGGGCGGAGTGCACGATCATAATCAAGTAAGAATCTGAGAAACACTTTTTCGTACAAATATGCGCCATTACCCACATCGGGTGTCAATTCTCGTTGTAATGATGCGCCAATGTCTAGGCGCGGCTCCCGACCCCATGCCACCCATGTCTTAAGATCGACTACTTTGATACTGATGAACGCCTAACCTTGCATTGACTGAACGGAAGCAAAATAGACATATTTTAATCATTGGTAGTAACAAACATAGGCTCTCATCTTAGAACGAGGGTGTCTTGGCACCGAAAATGAAATTTGAAATAACTTGAACGTTTCTTTTCCGTACCTGAGATGGGAGACGCTCCTAAAGCAAACCGAACTCAACCTTAAATAAATCGCAGTTATTCAAACGATGCCTACATCTTGCACACGATTTCTGTACACGGCCGAAAGCCTCATCGCCACCAAACCACCCAGCGCGATCACACTCGCTGCACTCTTCATCTCGAGAACATTGAGGACTACACCAACTTTTTGTCTCAGCCAGTTTCGAAGCTCAACCGTGACCAAGGAATCCGTTTGCAGCGGCCTTGTCAAGTCGACTTCCTCATCTTGTCGCATCATGAAGCCCCGCAATGCTGCACCAATCTCCCCAGCCAGGAAGTGTTTCGCCTCGTCAGATTCCAGCTGCGAGGGATCCAACACACATCTCTGAAGATAACCTTTCAGAGTGCTTTCTGATTTGTGTTGGTCGATAGGACCATCTACAGACACAGTCTTTGCTAAGAATCCGGCGCGTGGATCTTGCTGCCAACCGGTCCTGTTTATGGAAGACGAAGACCGCATTCCGATGGCAAGCTGACTCGAGTTTAAGTAGCCTTCAATCGAATGCAATAAGGCTTGCGTATGGATCCTCTTCTTCGCTTGAGATCTGTTAATCATTAACTCCATGGCATCAAGGAGGTCCTGTTCATGAAGACAATGCTGAGAAGTTGAGCGAAGAGCTTCGAGGCGATTGGTCTCTCTGGCAAGAACACCGATGTCTTCCATGATACCGATATCGAGTACAGAACATACTAGTCCCTGAGAATGCCGGTATTGAACGAACGCATCGAGGAATGCATTTGCAGCAGCATAGTTGGCTTGTCCAATCTGTCCTCCCAAACCTGAGAGGGAGCTGAAGAGAAAAAAGAAGTCAAGAGGATCTCTCTGTGCTTGGAGAGCGTAGTGGAGGTTCCAAGTTCCTTGTACTTTTGGTGAGACGGTAGTATGCCATTGCTCAAAAGTCATGTCGGCGAAGTGAACATCCTGTGAGGTAGTAAATATTCATTCAGAAATCAGAAAACGCCAGAAATAGGACATACCTGGAGTACCATTGCAGCGTGTAACACACCAGCAATTGGAGTAGTTGCTGAGTCAACCATCCTCACCACATCCGTCATCTCGTTGACACTACCAGGAACGGCTTGAACCATGCAGCCTAGAAACTCAAGCTCGTTGAAATATGCTGAGTGGGCGACATCTTTGGCAGATCTGGAAAAGAATATCAAATGACGAGCCCCCTTTTCGATGAGAAATCTTCCCGTGGCTTGACCCAATCCTCCAAGACCGCCGACGATGACATAGGTTCTATCCGAACGGAGAGCCATTCTTCGTCGTAAGGGAAGAGCTTGGAGCTCTGTTTTGCTTTCAGGCATCTTGATAACAACTTGGCCGATCCGCCCTTCACTTTGCAAGTACTTGAAAGCTGACAGCATGTCAGAAGCTGGAAAGACTGTGATGGGCTGCGAGGGCTTATTGAGTCCAAACTTGTGGAACAAGAATGCCTGCTCCAGAAGACTGCAAGATTTCATGTTAGTGAGTTAAACTTTGGATGTGGGAGATCTCAAGACTAAAGTAAGGTCTTGGAACAAGGACATACCGAGTACTCTCCTCGGGCTGGTGAACTCTCAATTCCTCAAGGTCAATGTTCACTAAAGTTCGGTTGCGGCAACTTTTCAAAATATCCGCCATCTGACCTCCGCCATGTCGTACTTGTACCATCGTTCCAAATGGCTTGAGACATGCCCAGCTCTCCTGTATTGATTCAGGACGCGTGCTGAAGACGATGTCCACACCCCGGCTATTTGTCTGGTGTAGGATGTTAGGCACAAATGAGGTGATGTCAGAGCTTAAGATGCGGTTGCTCGGGATACCGTATATCTTCTGGAGATATCGGGCTTGTGTTGTATTCTCGGCCGTGCAGAAGATCTAAGGCAGAGTTAAGTCAGGCTTTTATCCCGAATAGGTCTGCGCGAGGATGGACTTATGGAGCTTACCTCTGCACCGACCATTTTTGAAACTTGGATAGCAGCTAGACCAAGAGCACCCGGCGTCGAATGAATCAGAAGAGTCTAGAGAGTCAGTAGATGCTCAAGTAATGATGTGCTTACATCGACAAGAAGAGCCTACCTGGTCCTTCCTCAACCTGCCAAGCTCCATAAGTCCATAGAGCACCGTGCTATAAGAGTAAGGATACGAAGCAGCCTCTTCAAATGTCATTGCGTGTGGAATCTCTGCACAAAGAGTCTCGGGGACGATGATTGTAGTAGCCAAGGAGCTACTGAGGTTGAACGCAACGCGGTCACCCAATCGGAATCGACAGGTCTTTGACCCGACAGCTGTCACAACACCACTACCTTCAAGGCCAATTTCGGCACAACCGCTACTGCTGTCTGTGAAGTGAGCCGATGAGATTTTTGAGTCCTTAAACCGATGGTCAGTGTTCCGAGCCTTTCGAGTCATTTCTGGATCTTTCAGTTGACGTACCTCTGCGTTCAGACTAACAGCTTTTACTGAGACTTCCACATGATCATCGCTCAGCATCGTGGCTTCTGATTCTTCCCATGTTAAAGATTGCAATATTCCGGGCTTCTTCATCCTCAAAACCTTGGGTGCACCCTCGCATCGTTCTCGTAGGTCGTCGGAAACCTTGACAGAGTGAAATCGACATATTTGAATCGACCCCCCGGAGAAAGCATATTCAGAATCCGCCTTAGTGCCGCCAGTGCTGCTACGGTTGCCAAGAGACTCGAAGACAGTGGTCATGGCACTCCATCCGCTAGTGTCGTAAGATTCTAGTTCAAGGGTAACCAGGTCAATCGACAATTCTCTCCGGATGCTGCGGGTCACACCCAGTGTCAAAGAGTACCTTGGATCTTTGCAGTGAATTTGAGAGGCTGCGGTGATCCAAAGGAACCTCTCATCCTGCGCAGAAGACAAAGACTTCTTGAGGTTTTCCCACTGAATGCGATCCATGTCATGAAGGAAGGGGCCTTCCAGATCTAGCAGACACACGACAGCCTGACCATAGGGCAGCTCCTGCCCAAGGGAAAAGAACTGTAGGCAAATACCGTGGGATTCTAAGTCTCTTGTTGCTGCAACAACCAGATGATGACTTGGGTCTTGACAGATGATGCTGGCCTTGCTCATCTTTGAAAAGTCAGCAAATGGTGTGGCGACAGTGACCCTGCTATGCTCTCCTGCGAAGGTAAAGGTTGAGGCATTGTCGAAGCCAGCGTGACTTAATTGGCTCAGCAATATGTCAGGACAACCCAGGGAGCCGTAGCCGAGATCAAAGTTGGTTGATAGCCCGTATGCGAACCGGAGAAGGTTGGACTCGGGGTTCGCATGTTGAAGAATCAGATGACCTCGCGGACTGAGCAGTCTCCGCATATTGATTATGGAGACGTTCGAGAAAGAGGATAGCGTAGGTTCGGAGATTATGAGATCGAAAGATTCTTCCGAGAAGCCCTGCGATGATGGATCTATGTCAATCACCAACTGCTTGTAGGTAACAGCTGGTGCTGACTCGTAACGGTTTCTCAAAGACTTTGGCGGCTTTGAGGAAGCGCCGGTATAAACGTAACTACCATATGGGAAGTTGATGTCATCGGAACACAACAGCTTCGATAGCAAGCCATCGCTCTCTCTCGCACCTATGTGTAAAACTCTCAACCCTGGATTCTTGTGCCCTAAAAGTCGAACAAAGTCGGTGAAGTCCACGTTAGCTATGAGGTTGGCAGCTCCATCGAAGTGGCTGGGCTGTGCGAGTGGCTTGATCGCATGGGGCAATCCGGAGAAGCAGTCTGCGCCAAAGGTATGCACGCGGAAGATCGATACAGAGGCATCCAACGCAGGAGTCCGCTTGCAAGACTCTGTCATTTTCCCGATAGCCTTGAGTCTTGTCTTGTGATTCATCGTTGCGATGTCGAAAGCGTTGAGGACATCTGCGTACTGCCCAGTCATAGCCTTGCGATATGACGCATCAAGCCAACTCTTGTAGTTCACAAAGTGAGGTTGCGTGGCAGGAAGGAACTGAAGCTGAGTTCTCAGATCAACGATGCAGGCCAAGACCAGTTCATTCAAAACGTTGTAACTGGCATCCATTTCCCGACGGCGAAAAAGTTGAGTCGCCTTCGTGAAGTTGATGTCTGGCATCCATTTCAAAACGACACCAGCATGAGGATCATCTGCTACTTTGTCGCTAATAACTCCACCGAGTTGAGTTACTTCCAAGCCAGAGATCTCGATCACGACTTGTCCATCAGAAACTCCAATGATATTGCTCTTGGCAATTGCTTCAGCCTCATTATCGGCACTAGCGACAACATTGATCTGTCCGGTTGGTCGAGCAACATACACCTCTTGGATATAAGTGGGAACAACTAGTCCCTGAACGTTTCGCTCCAGACCACGGGACTCGGATATCATTGCCACGTGCATGCTTGTGTCGAGAGTAACTGGATGAATTGAATAGGGCGAGTTGGTGTAGCCTGCGAGCTTGCCATCCAGTGTTGCAAAAGCCCTGGCTTCGCTAACATGTGAACTGACATTGGACAGACCCCTGAAGTTGGGACCGTAGTTCAGACCATGTCTTTTCCAAGTGTTGTAGAATGAATTTGCTGAAGCTTGACGTGGCAGGGCAGGCATGTCAGGGACAGCATGCCTCCGATCTGAGCCGGATCTGCACTGACCAAAGATGTGGCTGACCCATACTTCGCTCCCATCTGCAAGTGAAGATATCGAGAAATCGTAAACGATCTTCTTGCTCGAAGTCTTTGACCTTGTTGGATTGAGTATCGTCACAACCTCGACTGTCTTTTCATCCAGAGTCAAAGCTGCCTCCATAGACACAGCTTTCAATGTGAAGTCCAAGGACCCGTGGAGCTGTCTCAGAGCCTCTCCTATCATAGAAATGAAACCAGACGCAGGAAATGTGATTTTGTCCCTAATGACGTGTTCCTGCAGCCATGGAACATCCTCGAGCCGTAAAATACACCTCCAAGCAGGGCAGGCGTCCGAGATCTCCTCGACGCGAGAGCCGAGAAGTTCGTGGTGGTCGAAAGTTCTGAACCGCCAACTGCGAGAAAGTCTACTCTCTTTCCAATACTCCTCATCGTAGTGCCATGGATATGTCGGAATATCTGTTAGAAACTGTCCCGGTGGGTTGACTGCAGCCATGTCAATATTGACGCTGGCCACCCAGAGCTCCCCCCCAGTCTTCAGAACGGCTGAAACAGCATCCTGGTTGCGCACCAGCGTTGGTGTGTATTGTGCACACATGTTTCTGAAGCTCAGGATTTGACGAACCGGCCCGGCAAGAGCTGCGTGTGGGCCAATCTCGACGAAAATTGGAGATTTGAAATCGTCTAGGACTCCTTGTACCGCTGTATTGAATAGAACAGGTGAGATGACGTTGCGGACCCAATATGTGTGAGACATGTCTGTGTTCTTCTCTCCTGTCACAGACGAGTAGAATGGAATTCGCGGCTCCTTGTTTTGAAGCAGTCCCTCTAGACGGGACGTAAAATCTGCGGCGGCAGTCTTCATATGGTCTGTGGTAGGAATGAAATTAGCCGGGCGATCACGTTCCCAGACCAGAAGCGGTGTACATGAACTCACGAGAGTGGTATCCGCACTCAACGCGGAGCTTCCGAGCAAGAACATCCGGGTGCTTAGAGCTGAGGTCCAGAAGAATCTCCTCAAGAACATTGCTCTCACCTGACAGAGTGACATTTGACGGAGAGTTGTCACAGCCAATGATGACACCTGGGCGAAGAAACCGCTCAATCTGTTTTCTGCCGAGACCAACTGCTGCCATGCTGCCGTTGTGTGCAGCTTTGATGAGACGAGTGATTTGACCGCGGTGATAGGCGATCAAGATAGCCTCTTCAGCTGTAATTGCGCCAGCCGCATAGGCAGCAGCGGTCTCGCCCGAAGAATGTCCCACTACTGCAGCTGGCGTAACGTCCCATGAGCGAAGTAAATCGACAAGCGCAACTTGGATTGCAACCAAGCATGGCTGCGAAAACTCTGCTTCGTGGAGACGACTCTCTCCTTTTGGAGCAGACAGTAATTCTGTGAAGTTCAGATAATTAGTGTTTTTTCATCGAGCTTCGTAGATAGTGCCAACCTCGTAGTGTCCACGGCGGAGGATCTGGAAGACCTGCAAGAACTCCATCCATGGCATCGATCCTGTCTTTGAACAAACCCTCTTGTTCTAGAAGTTCTTTACCCATTTGAGCCCATTGAGCCCCTTGGCCCGTGAAGACCCACACTAAATCTGGCGATAATGTTGTCGCTTTGACAACCGATGAAATCTGTAAGGGACTGCTACCGTTGGTCACACAGAAAGCTCGATATGGGTGTGTCTCTCGATGAGATGCCAACGAGTGTGCGACGTCGCCCAAGCTCTCCGGACTGCGACCCAAATAACTCTGAACCTTCTGGCTCAAAGCAGCGATGGACTTGGGATGTTTGGCGGAAAGTGGCAGAAGTTGGTGTCTTGAAACGCCGGGCCCTGAGCTCAAGCCGTTCGTTAGGGTGGAAGTCGATAAGCCGAAGCAAGAGGCAGATTCCAGCAAAACCTACGGAAATCAAATTGTCAGCTCGAGATTTCTCGATACAGACTCTATATTAATCAAATCGGATACTCACGTGAGCGTTGGAGCCACCGATACCAAAGCTGTTGACTGAGACTCTCTGATCTCTGTCAGTTGGCCACGGTACAGGCTCTGTGGGAACTTTGAGTTTGGCACTCTTCCATGGAACTTCAGCCAAAAGTTTGATCAGTAACTGCGTCCGGTAACGTTGCATTTCAATGTCACTTACTTCGAGGATTAGGAGTTTTGAAGTTGATGTTTGGTGGTATGGTGGAGTTCTCCAATGCCAGGACCATCTTGATCACACTGGAGAGCCCAGAAGCCCCTTCGCCGTGACCAATGTTTGGCTTAACCTGATAAATCACGTAAGTAATCGTTCTCGAAAACTTCTCTATAGTATCCCATTACATACTGAGCCGATGTATATACCATGATCACCCCAGATGTTGGCCACTGCACTAACTTCCAAAGGATCTCCAACCTATGCACGAAAACATTCAATTAGCAAGGTGCGCACCTCTTCAGAAGTTCCTGCTATAAAACTTACCAAAGTGCCAGTCCCGTGACACTCTACCATCGCAGTCTTGGACAGGTCGGTGACCCCAGCCATCTTGTGTCCTCTTCTCATGAGTCTTTCGTGGATATCAGGGTTCGGCGTTGTCAGTCCTGGGGTTCTGCCATTTCCGGCAGTGCATGTGGACCGAACCACTGCCCTGATAGGATTGCCATCGCGTACTGCATCCGACACCTTCTTGATGTAAATGGCAGATATACCTTCACCGCGTGCAAATCCATCAGCTTCGGCGTCAAAGCTTTTACATGCTGTTGACGGAGACAGAACTCCATTTTGCTGCATAATGATGGTATCCTTGGGGCTGAGAATGAGGTTTACGCCCCCAACTATGGCAGATGAACAGTCTCCGCTGTGGAGGTCTTGGCATGCCTGATGCAGTGCAACAAGAGATGCGGAACATGCAGTTCGAACAACGACGCTGGAGATTTTGTGAGAAATTACGTAGAGAGAACCCATGGTTGAAGACTCACCTCGGTCCTGTAAGATCAAACTCATACGAAGCCCGATTGGCAATGATGTAGTCTCCATAAACATCAGGCCGAACCTGTTGGAGGCTCTGACCGTCGCGAGACTCAAGCTGACTCCAGTCTTCTCCCATGGTTCCAACGTATACCCCAATATCGTGTCCTCTCCATTTAGTCGAGCCCGAGTTCTCAAGGGCTTCGTAGGCAACCTCGAGAAATAGACGTTGCCGAGGGTCCATGAGTTCGGCCTCCTGTTTCGTGAAAGACCAAAAGCTAGGGTCTACATGGGCCAGGTTGATGTCATCGAGAAAATAGCCAAACTCACTGGGAGCGTGAGCAGCTTTCTCACGACCATACCAGGTGTCGACGTTGTAACGACTCTTTGGGACTCTGCAACGTCCGCTTCTGCCATTGATGAGGAGGTCCCAGTAGTCGGTAGCGTTATAGACGCGTCCTGGGAGTCTCATGCCCATGCCTATGATGGCGATAGGCTCATACAGACATGAGTCTTGATGGTTCTCATTGCAAATACCAATCATTGCGGGATTGGTGCTATTGATCATGGTGTCTAGTTCATGTGTTGAAATTGATAACGCAGTCCACTTTGCCAAATCACTACGTCCTACTCGTAAAAGCTACAACAGACACACTGCTTGATTATATGCGGGCTTTTTTGACAACTCTGTAATTCGTTCTCGAAAAAACCTGCTAGAGTGTTACCGAAATAAGAGACATGGCTTACTTCGAGGCTAAAAAGTCCAAGAGTGAATCAGCCTTTGACATTCCAATAGCGTCAGTCTAGGCATGCAAAGAGTTGGCGGCTAATTCATGAAAACTTGATTACATTGGCTCTTATCCGGTGCTCTTTACAGTCATGATCGCGAATCAGTACGTAAGGGAAACTTCCGAGGTCCGCACATCTGTCTATGTGGCCTGTGATATTCATGAAGCTGATTCGGTCGGGAGAGGTACGGCACAGCAGGAACACGAAGTTGACCCAACAATCCAACCGCATTAAGCTCGCAGCCCGACGGCTTCGCATATCTTAGGTCAGACGGGACTTCGGTGTGGTGGATATCTTTCAAAGTTCTCACCAAAGCTGAGGTAAGGTCTCCTCCCTCGTTGGTTGCTGAGTCCACAAATATGCACAGTTCAGACTTGTTGGAGGGAAGTGTCGAAAAGAATGCGTCAACACACCATCTTCTGGCGGGATGAACCCCTATGACATTTTTTCCAAAATGGGAGGAATGCGTGGTTTGTCGAGCTGCAGCACAACATCGGTAGGATGCGTAGGATCAAGAGTTGTACGGCACAGCGTCTTGGTGGTTGTCGTCCCCCACCCACACCATTTGCGACCTGCATGCTGGCGAGGGAGAATCCGACTCCCCGTGTCCGCATACCGAGAGGGCTGCAAGATATGGAATAGATGGGTTCCTGCACGTTGGCAAATACAGTCACAGGAGTTGAAGAACAAAGAAACTAGGAAAAACTCCGAACATCGCCGGGCGTTTTCTGTCTCAACTAAGTACTGGTAAACGGTAAATTGTTCATATAATCAACAACGAGAACACTCGGCGAAGCCTTCACAACCCAATGCTTTTCCTTTTGTGTCCAACGCCTCTTCGTACTTACTTCACCCTGCGGAAAATCGGCTGTTGTATCTGACGCTCCAATTATCAAGACGCCATTATATGCGACAGGGGTTGTTGACGAAGTGACGATCATCCGCGGTTACTCCCTCTATGAAGTCACATCGCAACACTCGCTGGAGATATTCACACCGAAACTACGGTTTGTCGATAAGAGCCCAACGCCGCACAACATATCCCATTCTAATTCTTCAACCTTTTCTAGACTTTCAAGCTTTTGACACAGAAACGTCAGCGCACTGATGGAATTTCACGCTCCGGACCCAGTGCAACTGCATGCACGCTTACGGCCGAACGGTCTGGCCTGCATTGATGTCGCAACCAACCGCCGGTGGACGTATGCGGAACTGAACGCCGACATCCAACGCGCAACCGCGGTCCTATCCGAGCAAGGGGTCCAGATCGGTGACAGAGTGGCGACCATATCGGTCAATAATGTCCATCAGATCATTCTGCAACAAGCACTGATGAGGCTGGGCGCAATCCATGTCCCGCTGAACTGGCGCCTCGCCCGGCCCGAACTCGCGAAACTGTTGGCCGACTGCACCCCGACCATTCTCTTCACAGATCACGAAGACCCACCGGCGCTGCCTCTTGGCTGTCGCCACATTGGATTTTCGACATTCTGTGTAAGCGTGGATGCTGCAGAGCCTGGGCCCCGGTTGAGTGCGCGGCCTCTGCACGAGACGTGCATCATTCTTTACACATCCGGAACCTCTGGGGCGCCCAAGGGGGTCATGTTGACCGGCCAGAGTATCTTGGCGACGACTTTCAACTTTAGCATCTTGACAGAAATCGATACGGGTAGCGTCTTCTTGTGCGACGGCCCCATGTTCCACTTCATGGGGCTCATCGCCCAGATATGGCCTTCACTGATGCGAGGTGGCGCCCTCATTGTCTCTTCCAAATTTCAACCCGAAACGACCAATGCCCGCCTGAGCGATGCCGACCTCGGCGTCACTCACTACTTTTGCGTGCCTCAGATGGCCGAGGCTCTTGCCGGTGCATCAAATTTCAACCCATCAGCATGGTCAGCCTTGAAGGCGCTCTTCACAGGTGGTGCGCCCAACCCTCCAGCTAGGATCAAGTGGTGGCTGAGTCGCGGGGTCCGAATGGTGGATGGCTATGGATCGACTGAAATGGGGACTTGTTCTGGAATGCCGCTGTCAGCAGAGCTTATCAGCAGCAAGGCCGGTTCAGTGGGTCTTCCGGGCCCGTTGACGGCGGTCCGAGTTGTGGACGGAGGTGGCCAGGAAGTTCCCGTCGGTGAGCCTGGTGAGATCTTAATTTCGGGCCCGAGCGTTACGCCGGGCTATTGGAACAGACTAGACGACAATATGGCCGCCTTCACTGAAGACGGCTGGTTCCGAACTGGTGATATCGGGCGGGTCGACGAGGATGGATACGTTTTTCTTATTGACAGGCGCAAGAACATGTTCATATCTGGGGGAGAGAACGTGTATCCCGCAGAAGTTGAGGCTGCCCTGGCTGAACATCCTGGTGTGTTGGATGCTGCAGTTGTAGGCGTTCCGGATCAGCTCTGGGGGGAAGCCGGGCGTGCCTATGTCATTGTAGCACCAAACTCTCAGCTGACTCACGGGGATTTGGTCAGCCATTGTCAGTCACTAATTGCTCGGTTCAAGATTCCAAGAGAGACTGTCTTTGTCGGGAGCTTTCCACGTACAGGGTCAGGAAAGGTCCAAAAGCATATGTTAACTGAGGACTCTGTAGCAAGACTTTAAGTTTCAAGTTCACTTCGTTCAAAGTCTTTGCAACATCAAAATGTTGGTAGCAATTACACCAAAAGTAAGAGACTCAAAAACCTTTAAGATCGCTCTGAAATGCAAAAGATTGCGTCGAGGGGGAATCGAACCCCCGGCTCCCCGACGCTGCTTCATGGCAACGGAGAATTTTACCACTAAACCATCGACGCTGATGATCAGCTGATGTGGACTTGCGGATTTACATCGTGAGAGGGTCTAGGTTGTGTGGGTTGTGATGTTGCGATGTTGCTAATCACTGTGTCCTGGTTCCTAGAATGCCTCACGACTTTGCGACACAGTCGAGGTGGGCAGAAAACACAAAGTAAGAAAAAAAAAAAAAGGAAAAAAAAGCTAAATTCCTTTCCGATCATCGGTCTCACATAATCCGGATGACGGGAATCAGATTGCGGGGGCACCACCGCGGTCATCCCATCTGTGGTTCGGCACCCGGACGGCAATCTTGTGAAAGTTGCTGACAAGGATTCCAATCCAGGCCCGTCTTACGGCGCAGGATGCAAGCTGCACAACTCAGGCGCGTCGACTAAACATCAGCTTGCTATATTGAGCATCAAAGTCCGTGTCAGCCAATCGCTGGGCAAATTCAACCAATGAGACATTCCTCGTTCAGCCTACATGCTGTCACTTTAAGACAAGCGCTTATAATGTTAACAGCATCGCTATCTCACCGCGCAGCCGCTAAAGAGCCCCTCTATTGGATTTACTGGTGCCTAGTCAGAATTTGGGGCCTTCGCCCGAGGACGCCACTGACAATTCGCTCTTTCGTGGTTGCCTGCAGCAAGTCAGTTGGGCATCTTCCAACCTGGAAGTTCGTATTTTCCATTTCAGGTGGTCGTACACCCATTTTTCTTCCATCTTTACAATGTTTGATACCAGCATCTCCATCCTCCAAAAATGCCCGGCAGTGGAGCACTCTGGGGCTTGGCCCCTCATATCGACATCCAGAAGACAACCTTGGCGTTGGTCGTCGGTGTCTCACTCTCATTCTACCTTCTCATCATCCACCTGACGGTACCGCCCCCAATCCCGGGCATCCCTTACAAACGGAAATGGCGATGGATGCCAGCGGGACACCTCGCCCCCCTCGGCACTTACTGGCTCCTGAGCGGCGAGGCGTTCAGCTGGTTCTCTCGGGAATCCCTCGATCTCAAGTCGCCGATCGTGCAGATATTCCTCCCGACCTTCTCTCTCAGGAGACCCACTGTGATTTTGGCCGACCTACCAGAGATCGAGGAAATCGCCATGAGGAAACTGGGTGAGATGGACAGGGCTTCGCTCATCCACGACATGTTTGGCTTCATCATGCCGAACGCGACATTCAGTATGAAGACAAATGACAAGTTGAAGTCTCAACGACGCTTATGGGGCGTTGTTTCTTCATCGCAGTTCCTCCATGATGTCGCTGCTCCTAGGTTCCATGAGTCCATATCACGACTCATCGAGTTGTGGAAGCTCAGGTCCAAGGCCAACAACCAACAACCTTTCAGAGCTACAGATGACCTCAAATCAACCGCTTTAGACGCCATTGGCGCAATCTCATTGGGCTTAGACCTTGGCATGCTCCAACAAGAGATGCAAAGAGTGAACCCTGAAGCACAATCACTAAATAAAGGAGATCTTGAACCATGCAGGGATGGCCCGCTGTTGGTTCACTCAATGGAGATCTTGCTCCAATGCCTCAACTGGGTGACGACGAGCATCAGTGTGCGTCTGTCGAAGTGGGCGATAGGTCAGCTCTCGTACTTCCGACGTGCCCAGGCTGCCGTCACAAGCATCCTCAATTCCGAGATCAATGCTGCGTTTGTTCGTACTCAGGGCCAAGATGGGAAACAGAAACATCCGAGGTGTGGCTTACAGGAAGTCTTGAAAAGAAACACAATGTTCTATATTGACCCCTCAACTCAAGACCAGATAAGGGATGAGTTATTCCAGTTCCTCATCTTTGGCCACGAGACAACAAGCGCTGGGCTCGGATGGGCGTTGAAGCACCTGGCAGACAACCAGGCTGTACAAACACGTCTGAGAAGCGCCCTCGTTGACTCTTTCGGGCTCGATAAACCTGGCCTCCCAACTGCTGCCGATATCGCTTCAGCAGACGTGCCATACCTAGACGCGTTCATTGCCGAGGTCCTCCGTGTATCGTATCCTGGCCCTGTGGCTTTTAGGGAAACGATCACAAGGTGCCAGATCCTAGGAGTCGACATCCCGGCCGGAACCCCCGTTCTCCTAGTTACAGGCGGACCCTCCCACTTACAGGAATGGCACACAGATTACGGCAGTGAGAGGAAATCCAAACGCTGGGATATCAACTTTGCACCTCTCGATCAGTTTGTGCCGGAAAGATGGATGCGCTCCGATGGCACATTCAATGCCATTGCTGGCCCATCCTTGCCGTTCTCGACCGGTGCGAGAGGTTGTTTCGGAAGGAAGATTGCGTTGTTGGAAATGAAGTCCGTAATAAGCATGCTTCTTCTCAGTTTCGAGTTCCCTGAGCTTGAGAGTCGCCTGAGCACATATGGGTCGACAGATGCCCAGATCAGACGACCAACTCAGTGCTACGTTCAACCCACGTAGAGCGTCAGTCTTTCGAGAGTAAATGGTTTCCCAGTACAAGAATGTAGATCGAGCCAGCAGTTGTTTTCCTTGTTTTGATTTCGAAATAGCAAGATGTGGACATGTACATAGAAAGGGCTGTGTAGAACCCACATGCAGTCAAGCGCGGAGTTTGGCCAGACTAAACATGAGAGCCATGATGTGACTAATGCACAAACACAAATGGAACCACTTTGCTTCTTGTACTCAATCATAATGACAAAGTGTCTTCTAGTGGTCCTTCAGATTCTTTGGGGGAATCTCACTATTCCAACTGCCAATAACCTCTCATTGCTGCCCGGAAGGATTGCTAGGAAAGCCCGAATGAGAGTGTATGAGAAGATCAACATCAAACGTGTTATCCAGGTAGTCCGCCCAGAAAGTGTCATAAAACATCTGATCAGTTGCCTGATGAAAACTCTCAATTCCCGATGGTGCCTCGGGCTGAGATGGATTGAGGCCTGCAGAATCCATGCCTCCGTCACTGCCACGGAACGAATCTAACACAGCTGGATTGGCTTCTTCGCCCGCGTACTGCGGGGCAAAGGTTCGGTAGTTTGGGCCATGCTTCGACTCCCGTCAGTACTCACAAGCTATAAGATGACGTAGTGACGAGGAGAAATTGAGAGTACTCACAATGCTAGATGTCACGTTGACGATAGACCCTTGGCCAGTGAGTCTCCTCATCAGACTGACAAAAGACTTTGAGATCCATAACCTGACAGGCCAGGACTTTGATAGTTGACTCAAAGCCAGCAAGCATTGCCGTGATTTGTTTTCGGCCAGTTGCCGGCGGATTGGGTCTTTGCGGCAGATAACGATTGTATGGATGGAAAGAGCGCCAAACAATGTCGGAACACTGAATACTGTCAGATGTCGGCATGACAAGCCGCATTTGGGCGATTCTTACAGATGAATCTGTGCAGATCTAATAGTCTCGGCAGCAAGTAGGTCTTCTGCGTTGCGAGTGATGGCGTCCGCCGCCATGCGAGCCTGCTTGTCTCTTTCTGACTCTGCCGGCGTAAGGTTATCGATAGCCTTTGGTCTGAACAGGAGGATGTGGCAGTATCTATAGACGGTCAACAAAGTTGGGGTTTGGTATGAGTTCGGGGCGGTTACTGGTAGGTGAACTGAACCATGCTGGCCCAAAATGAAGCGCCGAGCGAGCCATCGAGCGGCGCCGGACTAAGGTGCACCGGCAGACTTGAATTCCAACGGCGGAGCTCTTTCTTTAGCGATTTTGCTTCGTACTTCTTGATCATAGCACGACGTGGGCTGAACTCTGCAACGATTATATCCCCCACTGTCAAAGTTCATATTAGGTTCGCACCGAAATAGGTTGAGAGGTCATCAGTCGGGACCCAAGGGCAGACGCTCACATATCGTAGTTAGTTTCGCCATCTCCATGACATATGCTACGTGGTACTTGTGCTGAGCGGGTATCAGTCTTTCATCGCCGTTCTTATCGAACTCAAAGTCGTCCTCGGTCAGAGGCTCTATATCACAGTCCTCGTCACGAATTCGACATGGTCGACCGAATGCTGCAGAGGTGTGTCTATCGCGGGTCTAGGATAATGCGGTGGTCAACTTCCAGTCAGCCAACTAACACTGATATTGTGACTTACATAGATGGCCCACCATATCCTCTTTCTCAGCGATCGCATTCGTGGGCTAAGGGCCGAGTGTGACATCCTGAATAACGTGAGCATCCAGTGTTGATCGGGAGAAAAGCACTAAGCCAGTTGCAACATACGACCTGTGCATGCCGAGGGACTGAGCCATAGTCGCGGCACAGTTAACCCAGTAACAATTATCCTTTTGGTCTTCTGGGCCAGCCCACCAAAAACCTAGAAGCAGCATAACGGCCACAAGATTCATGTGATCACTCTCGTACTCCGCATCGTAAAGAGCTTTGGCGCGAAGATAGTGCGTTCGCCTCGCAGTAGCTCGATCAGTGAAACCAGCTTCCTCGATGAGACTGTCATCGCATACCGTGAAACCGAGCAGGAACATGGCCTGCAAGACTAGAGGCGATGCCTGGCCTTGACGGTACTGTCGTGAGAAGTTCTCTCGGTCGAACACGGGGTACGCTACATGCATGATATCGAAGAAAGGACGGATGAGCTGATCCGCGATGTGTGGAGCCGGCATTGTGAGGGCCTCCTGAAGAGAAATCGTCTCTATGACCTTGGGTACATGATTGTAGGCAGACTGGTCTGCGATGCAAGCCGGGATAGGATAGTGGACTTTGACGGGCTCGGTTGAGCCATCTTTTGGTCTGTGAACAACCTCGACGATGTAAGATAGACTCAAATCTACCGAACAAGGATGTTGCCTTTGATTTCTTTGTGTTTGACTTGGTTGGAGTTGGCCATCGGTACTAATTCCATCGGACTTGACGGGGCTGCTAGTGAAGCTGCTGTCTTCGATGAAAACTTCGGTCGGGGCTTCCGTTTCTTGTTCGGCTGAGTCCTGTTCATTTCTCCCGGACTGAACTTGTAAAGATTGAGCCTGGGGTTCTTGTTCCTTTCGTTGTAAGGTGCGCTTTTTACGAATATATCTAGCGCGCTGTGAGCTTCTTTTCAAGAGAGCCCTTTCATCGGGCTGGGCGGAACCACCTACTTGCCCCTCCTGGATTCTACAAGTTCGCAGGGGATTTGGCGTGTCCGGCATTGCCAGCAGGGATGAGCGTCCCCTGCGTCACATTTGACCCGTCTGGACCTGCACGCTTTGCAGGCCACGCGAGCGCGGTCACTTCCAGGCTTCACAGCACTAGTCGAAGAGGAATTTCCGCTCATTATCCCAGAGTCAAATCTCAGGTGGATGAGAGCACGTAATTCACAAGTCGGCGAGGTTATTCGATGTCAACGGTATGTTCTTTCGGAGGCGTCGCCAGCTTGAAGATTGAAGAAGCCGAGGTGACTAGATTTTACTGCCGAAATGTGGAGAAGCAAGTCACAAAACGCCGCGGGCTCTCGGCTGTGGCTATTACTCATGCGCTGCACTGCTTTTTTCTAGGGCACTAGCAACACCCAGGTTACCCCAGATCTGCGCGCCGAACGATCAAATCATCCAGCTACTAGGAACATTTCAAAGGAGTTGAGAGACCGTTGATTTGTGGCTACGCGTTGAGTCTACCTAAGGCGCATACGTGCATGCTGAGATGGCGAGGTACAGGGAAGTAGATCAAGCTTAAAACTAGCAGTAGTACCCACAAAGCCGCGTTTATGAATCTACTTCAATGTGGATGCGAGATGCTAGGCTGAAACCGTACCACAACATCGCAATGACCGCGACGAGGTTGAGGTGAATGCTCATTGCGTGATTCCTTGAAAACCGTCTTCTTACAGCAAGCATGTCTGGACTCGGTTCACCGACGTTCCCAGGACGTTTGGCATCGCGTGTTTCTTTTCGGTGTCAGATATAAAGAGAAGAGTGGCATTAGGAATGTGTCGGCGGAGCTCACCTTGATGCGTGCGATCAATCATCGCCTGTCTAGACCTCGGTCCGTAGATGAGCAGGTTCGCCATGGATGTTACCCCCGCAACCATGAGCGGGATCCAGTTGCTCTTCGCCTTGAACAAGGATGTCGGGCCATGAGGGGGGAAAGTGAGGACTGTCAAGACAAGGAGAAGTGCCTGGCATCGGAAGTATATCGGAAACAGGCGCTTCTGTAATGTCGTGAAGGCTGACTTGGGAAGTTCGAGATAGCAGATCTTGGTGTTGATAAACGTCTGAAACAGTGACGTGCCGAGCAGTGTCCCGTAAGAGATGATGTGGTAGGGAGCAAAGGTTGTCATGATTGAAGGAATTCCGAAAGCCATTGTATGACCGAGTGAGTCGGTACGAAATTGATTTGATCAATTGATAGCCTTTAGCCTAGATCCGAATATCAGATTATATAGCAACGATTGATGCCGCTGAAACAAGCACGCGGGATGCGGTGTTCTGCCACATCCGTAAGCTCCGAGCACCTTCGGAAAGAAAACGGACGCCGAGTGGGGCCTGATTGAGTCCAAGGGTGGGCCCCAATCGGCAACTTTACGGCGGCCCGGACGATCCCAGCCAACACTAAGTTGATCTTATTGTGAGAATGACAGCTTGTTTACGGAATCTGCAATAGTTGCATAGGTTTTGTCGCATCTTTTTCTCTGCTCTAACGATCGATGGAAGAGTCGCATTGTGCTGGTTGCGTTGCTCAACACTGCTTTGAGCCGAGTGGGATGGACCCGAAAGGATCCGGATCTTTCGTGGCGACGCAAGCAACGGCGAATCAAACCAAATCTTTTTGGTCACGTCTTCGAACGGTCTCTTGGGCATCATGCAGTTTTCTAGTATATGCATATAGGCACGATCCGAGTATGACATCGATGGTAAGCGAAACAGCATCGCTCTAACGGTACCTAATTCATAGATGGCCCAATTGCCTGTGTGAGTAAAGTCACTTGAAATCGCCTAAGAGTCAAAGTTATCCTACTCACACCACAACAAGTACTTTGTCTTTACGAGAGAAAAACAGATTGTAATAACTCGGCATAGCCATCAAGATCTCGTACTTCAGCTTCTAACCCTCAAGAGTCAACTACCGCAAAAGGATTCGCTCTTTCCTTATATTATACCCGCCAACTGAACCAAGTCTAAGTCTATGCGAAATTTGAAATTGTGCTCCCAAACAAGCAGCAGTCTATCTGTAAACATTCAAATGTTCCGTTATGGCCGCTTTTTCTATATCTCTATTGGCTATTAGTCCGTCATCAAGTCATTAGTGTGCCATCACAGGCCCGCCCACCGCCTTGCCGATGTTCTTCACTCCAAACGCGCTAGCAATCATGCCGATGCCAGCGAGACCACAGCAGCACAGCAAACCAGTATTGTATTGCCGCAAGTCACTGTGTCCCTTGCTAGTGTCAACAGCCTGGACAACAGCCCCTGCCAAAGCGAGACTGACGCCGCTGCCAATCTGGAATGCCGTGTTGATCATGCCGCCGCACAGGCTCTTGACATTGACCGGCACCGAAGCCAGCAGCACGACGGTGATGGTGCAGTAGACGATTGTTACACCCGCGACGCCCATGACAGTGGTTGGGAAGACATGCTTCCAGAAGTTGAGGTCATCTTGTCGCATGAGCGTGGAAGGAATAGGCGCGATTGCGCAGATGGCCATGCCGATCACAAGGAGGAGCTTGGTGTTGAAGATCTCGAGCATGCGGGACATGGAGAGGCTGAAGATGAAGCCTGTTGCACCCATAGGAAGAAATCGGAGGGCGGTCTGTCCTGCGCTGAGGTGGTTGACCTCTTGGGCAATGAGAGTGGTGTAGTAGATCGTGGTCTGGTATCCTCCATATGATACTAATCAAAGGTTAGCACATGGTCTTGGGATCAAAGAGAGATGTAGACTTACCGAAGCCACCGATCCAAAGAGCAGCAAAGTTCTCGAGCTTCCATAGCGACAGTGGCATGATGGGGTTGGCAACCTTCTTCTCAACGTAGGTGAAGGCAACAATCATCGCGATACTAACGACCAGCAGCGCGATGATGAAGGCCTTGCCCCATCCATACTCGCCACCGCTAGAAAGTACGAAGCTGAGCAGTATGAGACCAGCAGTCGACAGACCGGCGCCAACAAAATCGAGCTTGGGCTTCGAGTTGCCCTCGAGTCTGTCCTTGGGGAGAAGACCCCAGCCAATTATGCCAAGAATGCTTGTGACGGCAGTGGGGATGTAGAAGATGTATCGCCAGCCAAGCGATGAAGTCAAGAAGCCTCCAAAGATGAGGCCTAGGCAGAATCCGACGGCACCGGCGGCACCAAAGATTGTTAGTGCAAGCGTGCGGTCCTTGGCGATGAAGTAGTTGCTGATGATGCCGACGGCCGAAGGCACAGTCATGGCAGCGCCGATGCCTTGCAAAGCTCGGAAGATAGCCAGCTGGATGAACGAGGTCGCGAAACCATTGGCAATTGTCCATACACTTAGCGTAGCCATCCCAGCGCAGAAGATCATCTTTCGACCAAAGCGGTCCGCAAAGACGCCGGCGAGAAGAAGGAAGCCACCAAAGGTCAAGGTGTATGCCGAGATCAACCACTGCAACTCCGCATTCTTAACCTTGAAGTCCTTCTGGATGGCGGGGAGGGCAATGTTGACAGCCGTCATGAAGATGTTGTCCATGAGCTGAGCGCCACAGGTGCAGAGTAGCACGATGGCTCCTCGGAACGATGCGACGGTGCCGACGTCCGGATAGGCTTGCCCCGCGCCGATCTCGTACTCGGCGGGCGTCTGTGTGCCGGACCCACCACCGGGTGAGGGCGGGCCCGAGCTAACGCCGGAGACCGGGGATGGTGGCCGTGTTGATTGAGGGGTAGTGAACTGGGAGGGTACTTCGCGAATGGTGCTCACGGGGCCAGGCTTTGCGGCTTTGGGGAAGGCGGGCAACTCAAAGACGTTGTCTTTGGACTCACGCCTATCCCTTGACCTGTGCCGGCTGATGGCCGACGCACTTCGTACAAGCTCATCGAGGTCCTCTGACTGGTCGTGCTCGAATGTAACGCGCGAGGTTTGAGAGACTGTGCTTCGGCGGCGAGTGACGGGCATGCCTGGGTAACCCGCTGGTGGAACGAAAGTCGGGGCTTCCTCAAGCGCCGAGGTGCGGCGGCCGAGAGGCTCGCCGTCACCGTCCACCGAGACCCGGTGGTCAAGAGAGTGCTTGTCGTGAGGCATGTTTTGTTGTCTCTGCTGCAAGCAAGAGTGAAAATTACAAGGCAAAATGAGATTATGTGGAAGGATGTCAACCACAGGAAACGATTTCGAAATTCATCAGCGTCTGACGATATTGAAATACATGAAATCGCGGTGACCAATGTAGTGTTCGTGATGGACTCGCTCCATGAGAAGGGTTGCAGTGATATCAACCTAATAAATCTCTTATCAGTTGGGCAGTGGCTGCAGAGTTTGCCACATGGCAGACTTTTGTCATGTTCATCTGCCAGACCTCAGGCGATTCTCATGTCGCGATGCTCCACAGGTTTCCACAGGCTTGTTTGCGCGCCAATCTCACGCCGGACACCACAAGTGTTCCTTGTCATTGAACTTTTCCCAATATTTGTCGAACAAGCGCTGTTGGGTAAACTCTTAGAACCGGGTCTAAGTGAGCGTGTGACTCGTGAGGGGCTACCGGCGGGATGGTGCCGAAAATCTCAACCCAACGGAGTGAAAACTTTTAGATATCTTGGCATGGGGGTTTATTTCGTTGCGCCATCGCTGTTTCTGTCAATCTGTAGGGCTGAAGAACACTAAACATTTCGATGCTTCGACGAAGAGATTTAGAATTTTAGATAGAACCGGGCAGTTTCCGCCTCCAAGATCCGTCATCGGGGCTCCACTTGCAAGACTTTCACAGGGGTCCAGACCCTTGCGCCACTGTTCCCTCGCTCTCAAATTTCCTTTCCAGATCAAATAGGCAATTCTCATCCACGAGCTCCCGGCTCTTCGATCAATCTTGCTTCGGGATCCGTTTTCCGATCCCAGCAAATACAGATGAGCTTTTGCCCAACTTACCCCTCTGGTTCTCTAATGGCGATTATCGGCTCTGTCAATGTGTGTTCGATGTCGATCCGGAACCCTTCTCTCGAGCCGCCACTCGTCTTGGTGATTCCGGCTGCCACCATGCCATGCGCTGCAAGGCACCCGCAGTGCATCACAACCCTTATCACCGGCTAATGCTATTTCCGCAACCAATCGCAGTATCATTTCTGAACCTGTGGTCGCTGTTATCTTTGAAGCTTGTTTCCGTATTTGTCTTTCACATGTCAAGACTGATGCACGTTGTCTCACAGTTTTTCACCGCCCTCCACGTCAACAAGCCGTTGAAAACACCGCGAATATCTAGCCTGTTGATGGTTGGAATGATGAGTCCGTACCGTAGCGTGCGGCATTGTTAAGCTTCCTGGACCCATCCTCTGCCGACCAGGCCACAAGGCCCCGGTTGCCAATCAACTATCCAAGACGGTGTAGCTGTCTTGGTTGACTTGGCTTTTTCGGAGCATCCCGACCCCAGAAGAAGCCTACCGTCTGTGCGGCAAGTGACAATAGAAGATTCTCAGCGTACTTTAGGTACTTTTTTCGACTTCATGACAGGAGGGTCTCTCTGTAAACCCAGCCTATCGTAGATCTCGAGTGTCTCTATCGTACCTTAGGCAGTTTGCTTGGTTGACCAAGTATATCCTGCAGCAAAACCCTGCAGTCTCGGTCCCTCGCGACCGCAGCCAAAAATTCCGTGCTGTGCCTATTGTATAACATGTTTTCCCACCATCCCAATTTCTTTCGCAACTAGTTCAAGCGCGATTACACGTGAGGTAAATCACTTTCTAGATCGCATTTGTAAAGGGACTGGGGTTCAAATCCGGTATTTACTCGGCCCGACTTGGTACGGGCAAACCCGACTTCACCACGGCCCCACCTTCGGACGCGGCCCCGCTTTGAGCGACCGGCCCTCGGTATGCTAGCTCTTGCATCCCGGAAGGCTTTTCATGTGGAAAAGATGAGACAGGATCAGGTGATGCTCAACTTATCTACGTCAATTTAATTCCCGAGTCTTGCAGTGTCATCGCATTGTTTCAGACGTTAGCAAAAGCACCCTACTAGTCGCTTAGAGTGAGCCAACTATGCCCACTCTCTGGGTACATCATCGTGCAGCATAACCTCCAGCTGGACGGTTACGCTTGAAAAACAACCATAAGCCAGTCTCCATCTCGCACCATGAGAAATGCCTGATATTTCGCCCAACTTCGGACAGCTGACAACCATCGCAATTGTGCAGTTTCCAAGTTCGGTTGAGGCGACATGAACAGAATCCACATCAACACCGCGAGTATCGCCGATGAACTGCGTGGCCCGCGCTTCACAGGCTCCAGATTTCCGTCATTGTTTCCACCGCCGACCCGCAAATCCGAAGATTCCTACGGGATGATGATGTCAGGTTGCAGTAGATATGCGACCGTTTTTGCGATTGAATTCCCATAGATGAGCAGAAAACTGGCAGAATAATTTCCAGTGTTTCGGCTCCGCTAAATAGGAAAGCCGAATTGGAAGAGGATGCGGAAGAGCCTCAACTCAGAAAAGGGAGACTTTTCTGGACCTTACCTCGGATCCTCTTTTCCACCGATAGATACGCTGCAGTAACATCGCAAGTAAACTCTTGGCAGGATAGCGTCATATCTCCAATTAAACGCAGGAAACTTTTGCCTTCCGTGTGGAAAATCTGAAAGTTGATAAACAAGCCCGAAGACCCGGGGAAGGGAGATCTGGGGCAGATGTTCTAGATAGCATTAACCACCGACTTCTGAGATGGGCTGTTCCTACTTTTATGAATTTCCATCAGCACACCTATTACATTCAAATCGACGATTGAGCGCCCACCGGGCCAATATTTTGGCGTTCTTCTGACCTAAATCTGACGTCAAACGCAAGCATCATCACACCTACCGTCTTGATCGAGGCAACTATTCGTCAGAGATAGCATTGCCAACATGGTTTCAGCATCTCCTGGTGATAACCCGCGGGCCTCACGGCCAAGCAACGTCGATGAGACGATCCCAACCCGAGACAGCAGCGTAACGCGCGTCGACCGGAGCTTCGACGGCGAGAAACCGCAGCAGCCCCTCAACGAAAAGTCCGAGGATGCACCAACCGGGGGCTTCTTCGAAGGCGGCCTGGGCCGAGACGAAGAGGCCGAAGGTACGCGCAGTCAGGAAGACCTAGCAAGGGCAACGAGCAGCAAGCAGCCTGAGTACACCCCCGATGGGAAGCGTGTCATCACCGAGGATGAGTGCTATCATTTGCTGGGATACTCGTGGCCGGCATGGAAGAAGTGGATGCTTCTGTCCTCCATATTTGCCGTTCAGGTGTCTATGAACTTCAATACGAGTGTCTTTCCTAGCGCTGTCACCCCTATCAGTGAGGAGTTCCATGTTAGTGAGCAAGCTGCACGTAGTGCACAGTGTGCTTTCTTAGTTCTCTACGCTTTTGGGTGTGAGCTGTGGGCTCCTTGGAGTGAAGAGTTTGGACGATGGAAGATTCTGCAGTGAGTACTTCGAGGTTGTTGTGACGTGACACGACTAAGATCAAGTCTAGATGCTCCCTGTTTCTCGTCAACATATGGCAGATCCTTGCTGCACTGGCTCCCAATTTCGGCAGCATAGTTGTCGCTCGAGCCCTAGTAAGTCAGAGATCTTTCTATCCTAGGGAACTAGTAACTGACCATGCGTGATTAAAACAGGGCGGCCTCAGCTCAGCCGGAGGTAGTGTGACCCTCGGCATGGTTGCCGATCTATACCAGCCCGAGGAGCAGCAGTGGGCTGTCCTCTTTGTCGTTCTGTCTTCCGTTCTTGGAACTTCCGTCGGCCCTGTCGCTGGAGGACCTATCCAGAAGTTTCTTCCGTGGTACTGGAACCTGTGGATCCAAATGATCTTTGGCGTTGTCGTCCAAGTCGTCCACTTCTTCATGCCCGAGAGCCGCTCCACTATCATCATGGACAGGGAAGCAAAGCGGCGACGCAAGTCTGGAGAAGACACCAACATCTACGGACCCAATGAGGTCAAGAAGCCTCGTCTTTCGATGCACGAGTTTGCCATCACGTGGATGCGTCCCTTTGAGATGTTCCTCAGGGAGCCCATCGTTCTCTCCTGTTCTCTTCTTTCAGGTTTCTCCGATGCCCTGATCTTCACCTTCCAAGAAGGTTTTACGCCGGTGTTCAACAAGTGGGGATTCGGAACTTTGCAAAAAGCATGGGCTTTCATTCCCATCAACATCGGCTACATCCTCGCATACATCTCATATGTGCCATGGATTATTAGAGACCATCGCGTCATCAGGGCGAAGGGTCCCGATGCACTTGCACCTGAGCGTCGCCTGAAGTGGTTGCTGTATCTTGCACCACTTGAAACCATTGGGCTCTTCGGCTTCGCTTGGACCTCCATGGGTCCTCCCGAATCTCACTGGATAGCGCCTATGATATTCTCATGCCTCATCGCTATTGCCAACTTTGCCATTTACATGAGCACGGTTGATTACATGATCGCCGCATACGGACCCTACTCCGCGTCTGCCACCGGTGGTAACGGGTTTGCACGAGACTTCCTTGCTGGAATTGCAGCGATGTACGCTACTCCTTTGTATGAGAACATTGGAAGTTCACGCCACACCGAGTATGCAAGCACCGTCCTCGCCTGCCTGGCTTTCATGGTCACTATTCCAGTATATCTCATCTACTGGAAGGGGCCCGTCATTCGAGAGAGGTCCAAATTTGCTCAGTCTCTGGATGCCGATCGACGATCCAAAAGTGGACGTCGCGTCGTTGAAGCTCCCGAGGAGCAGTTGGAGCCCAAAAACCTTTGAAAGAACCATTGAGGTACGGTTTATGGGTCTAAGAGCAAAGGGTGGAAACGCGATTGAAGAACCACAAGAATTGGGTTTCTATGAGTACGGATTGCAGAGGTATATGACACGTACCTATAGTACATAATGAAATGAATGATACCAATGTACAATATTCTCAAGTCTAAGACTGATTCACGTGGACGAATTAGAAAGTTTGGCTTCTTGGCAAAGCTGAGAATTTTCCGACATATGTGGTGATCTTATTATCATCTTCTAACTTCTGAGCATCAACTGAACTCAGACGCCGGCCTCTATAGAACATCCGATACAAAAGTCATGGTCCGTCTTGCGCCACGCCAATTTATGCCTCAACGCCGATGGTGATGTAGGCGAGCATGCCCTTGGTAACGTCCTCACCATCAAGGGGCTCGACAACCATGTTGGGATTCCAGTTGCCCTTGCTCTCATCGGCAAAGATGCTATCAATGTCGTTGGTGGTGCGGTTGATCTCGGTGTGGCTGACGTAGGGCTCGAGGGCCATGATCTGCTGGCTGAGGGGCTCGTCGAAGAAGAGCTGGCCGGTGCTGACAATATTGGAGGCGACGACGGTGCCGTTGCTGCGGACGGACCAGTCGGTGTGGACCTGGGCGTGGATGTGGATGGTGCGCTCGACGTAGAAACCGGGGAAGACGGTCTTCATCTCCATGATACCGTTGGAGTCGGTGGGCCAGATGCCGCGGAGCCAGGTGGTGGCGTCGGTGTGCAGGTCCAAGTCGGGGCCGATAGTGACGTTGAGCTGGTCGAGGAGCTCTTCGAAGGGAGTGTTAGGGCTGTGGCCCGTGAACGAGCTGTAAGATCCGGTCTGCGGGCTATCGCGTTAGTTTCAACCACCAACAGTGTCGAATTTGGGTGATGTATTTCACTTACAGCGTTGCAATGCCACAAATCGACAAGCACATCCCTCATGATCTCGCAAGTATTGACGTTGAGAACACCAATATCCAGGTAGAGAGGAACGCCGGGTTGATCTTCGCTCATGTCTTGGCGCAGAGTCTGAGACTGAGGCCAGACATAAGGTCCCTTGGTGACCTCGGGGGTCAGGACGCAAGTGTCGTTTTGGAGGGTGTTGTAGTGGGGACCCTCAGTATGGATAGTGACATTGCTGTCGCGCTGAACGAGAGAACGGCTGACAAGCGAGCGCTTCTCGGCCTGACGCTTCCTGCGAACCTCCTGGAACTGACCGGACTGTACCGCGCAACGCTTGGCGAGGTTAGAGCGGCGGGCAATCTCTGAGTGGCTCAGAGTGTGGTCATGACCCGGGTGGGCAACAGCCACTCCTGAGAGGAGCGCAGTAGCGAGAGCAAGGAGCTGGAACTGCATGTTGTAGGTTGAAAGAGAGTGTAAGTCGAGAAAGAGTGTTGTAGAGACTGTTCAACGAGAGAATGTCTGGGACCTATTGTCAAAGTCAAGCTACCGAGATCTAAGCTGCTGATCAAGCTAGAAACTGATCAACAACGCGGAAGCGATCCTTTATTTATACGTTCATCCCTTCTTTCGATTGTTCTTCACCTTCCACGAATAGACGAAAATATTATCTTCCCTGCTTCGTCCCGTTTGACCCCTGACGAGGATCCAGAAAGCAAGTTCATCTCATCAGGACGTTTCTTTTGTCAGCCGTTGCCCCCCTCTCATCACGCTCAGATCCGTGAAACTGCCAAACCAAGCTGCAGTCCACCTTTTACGATCTCCAATTCTCCACTGACGTCGGGTTCGCAACACAGGTCGCTCCCACATCCCGAAGAACCACGTTCTGATCAATTCCCCATTCGGCAGTTCGTCGCATAGTAAAAGGCGATTCGCCAATCACGGTCCAGATATTACGGTTGACTTCCGGGGTCCGAAGCCCCCAAGCCGCACCCGGACGCCATCCCCGGCGGGCCGCCAAGACTCCTGGCCGCGTAAGTTCAGGGGCGGTCCGCCTGGTCACTGCACGTTGAATCAACCTTGACCCGACGACCAAGCATAATCAGTGGAGGCATTGAGCGACCGATGAGAGCCGCGGTTGACCCGAGCCGAAAGATCGCTGATGTGGTGTTGCCGATGTTGTCATGGGTGTGGATAGGAGATTTTTGTCCTGGCGAAATACCATTGCAAGATCCGCATCTATTACAACCCAAGACCGGAATGCGGGCGTCGAAAAAATCGGAAGCTGTCCCATTCGACAGTTACCAGAAGTTCTTCAATCTAGAAGGTGCGTCAACTAGAGCCTTCGCTTGTTGAAATCTGCTGACGAAGTGGTTGCGAATTTCCAGAGTCCAGACTACATCCAGTGACTGACCCCTGGAAGAGCGGCAGTGTATTATGCAGAATTCCCGAGCAGCGCGTCGGATTTGAGCCGACGCGGTGTGATATCAACAGCCTTAAGAACCCTTTTCAGCCCCCCAAATCTTGGCACCCAATCATTTTTAGCCTACAGAGTATTACCTATGATGACTTTGCATGTACCATGATTCCAACTAAAAACTTGGGAGTCCGCGAGAACAGTAGTACGCTGTAAACTCTTTTCTAACAAGTTCAGAACAGACTAAACATGTCACCCTCACTTCTTGCTAGCTCACAAGAGCATTTCTATAAGGTGGGGATCTTCTAGGCGGGCCCGGCCGAGCCAAGAGTCGAATTCACAGCAACACGACTCATATGGTTCCCGTGGAATCAGTCACAGCACCCACTCATACGCATTTCTTTTCCTTACTACGTCAGTATCTGCCAAGAAGCTTGACTCGGGACACTGAGTCTCTTGCCATCTTAGTTAGGAAAGTCACAACTTCTCCGTCTCGGAGTCCGCGGCGCGGCGGCCGCCGCCGCCATAATATTGCGACGATTCCCAAGCCCTCAGCAGCCTGTCTATATTCGCGGAGGCTCCGTACTGATAGAGCGTGAAGATCGATGGTTCCACCTTTGAATGCTTGACTCGTACTGAAGGATTCTGCGCTTATGACGTTGAGAAGGGCACCTCAAGTCGTTATCCAGAGGCTAGGGAATACTTACAAATGCGCTTGGAGCATTGATCTTTTTACAAATTCGACAAGCTTAGGTATGTTGGGTTCTTATGCTCATCCCGCTTTAGTTCAGATGTCAGGGAGACAGTGCCATGGGTTAGAGTTGTATTATTAGTCCTATCGGCGTCCCCTTTAACTGGATCGCACTTGCCGATTGCTAATTCTTGACGTTTGCCCATTTACCCTCGCAAGGATTCGACCCAATCATTTTCCATGCCCAATCATCTACCTTACGTGACCAATATCCAAAGGTACCATAGAAGTTGACCAATTGTGTGTGAACAGTTTCTAAACACTCAAGTAGAACGGAATCACTCCAGGGTCCATGCCGGTCCAGATGAATGGCATGCCCTGACTTAAACCCTCACCATCAAACCGCCGCCCGCTGATCTTCCTACTGATACTACCCATGTCTTTTATGAACCGGTCATTTACCACCGCGACGGCCTTGTTGGTCCCGGCGAGAAGACTTTCGGCGTTGAACATGTACCGCAGAGTCTGATTTTTCTCGACAACCTGAGGCCTGTTGAATCGTGCCAGAAGAGTAATCTGGTCGACAGACTTTTGCTCGTTGGGAAGCCAAGGAAGAAGGCTTTCGATACGGCCTTTCTTGGTAGGAAGAGGCGCGTACAGAGAAAGGGGATGAAGTGGTAACACGCCAGACGCCGTCACGGGCTCACCTTGATTCAGGACATGGTGCGACACACCCGTCAACCATGCCATGTGGGTCAGAATATCAATAAGCTGTTTCCTGCTTCTCAGCGGCGCTGATGGGAAGTCGATGACTTTTGCAGGGCCATTGGATTCGGTAATCCAGGCTTGCAACTCCCAATCGTTGGCTAGCACTCGGTCAGACGCGTAGGTTGCCTCGACGAAAGCTTCAATGAATTTACGGATGACTCCAATAATCTCTTTCCCATCTTCATAGAAGGGGAAATAAGGAAGTTTTGGGCCAGAGGAGGAGTGTAGTAGACCACGCGATCGCAGGTTGCCCTCAAAATGATTTCTTTGAAACGGGCCGGCGACAGTCGGATAGAACTCTGCACCAAATTGGCGTACGGCTGCATTTGAGAAAGCAAAGTTCTGGTCAAAGAAACCACCCGGGTTGAAGAGCACTCTGTCACCTATGGGTCGAATAGCATAAGCCTGGTACATGAGCCTTTCCAGGAGGTTGAGGACAGGATGACGGCTGCTGAGCGTGCGAAGGGCAGCTAGATAAACAATCTCAGCAACGTCGTGGGAATTAAGGAGATGATAGACCTGGCCGTGGAAAAAGTCGTTGACGTTGAACATGATCTTGGCCAGCAGCCACTCGTTTGTTGTGTCCAAGGGGGTGTATGTAAGGTCAGCGCCGACGTTGGTCTTCTTGATGGCCAGGGGAAGAAAGTAGTCCGAGCGCTTGTCGAGGTAGAACAGCGCTTGGCACGCAGCTGAGTATCGGCCTTGTTGAGCGACGTACTTTTTCTGATAGCTGTGGTCGGCTAGGAATAGACGACCGCCCCTACGAAGTGAGTCGAGAGTAGTTCCAGTAATCTTCCTGACTGTTTCATCGTCGAGAGGGAACGGTAGTTTGTCCTTTTTGTAATTCAGACGGCGAATGATGTAAGGATTGGTCGAGAGGCGCTCCATAGCGAACAAAAGGTCTGACGTGAAGTTGCTGAACTGGCCTTTAGCGATACCACCAGGAACCGATCCTGACCAGTGACCATCTTAGAGGATTTTGAAGTCCTCAAGACGCTTGAGGCCACCATGCTTGAACCATAGATATCAGCCGAGAAAACATTACTATTACTGAAAAGAATTTGGCCTACCTTGGTGATGTCTTCAAGCGCCGCGGCACTTTCATTGATTGCAATTCGAGCAACAGGCTCCGAATCCTTTACCCACAAGCTCTGATCGCGCAAAGAAATCTGGGTTCCTAACGATCCATTGGGGAAGAAGGATGTATCTCCTATCAGTGGTTCTCCGTAGGTGATTACCTGCTGCTTGAGTTTGATTTCCTCTGCTCTTAAGGAAGAATCATGGTCTTCATTAGGTAGCATATATCTGGTCGGGACCGGCTGCTGTGTAGACACAGTTGTTGGGTTGACAGCAGTTGTGATGGATGGTGGGTGGCTGCTAATAGCGCTGACACCAGCAATTGCCACCAGCGCGATGAAGGTGAAATCAAGTCTCATATTTGTGATCAACATCGAGGATCTATTGGGAATAGAGCGCCAGAAAAATAGCTATTTCGATAGCTACAATGCTGTTGCCGAAGATAAAAGCCATTAAATTCCTTTCAAGCCTAAGTATTCAGCCTCTGAAAATTATATAATGTTATCTTGAACAAATACCTTCACAAGGAAAAGGTCCCAAATGGCCGCACTCAGTCTCCATTGTACATTGCAACCCCCCCCACGCCGATCATTGCTGACGGTTCCGTACAGCTGATCTAGTCGCCGTGTCGCAAGCACAATTCATGTGGCTTGTGCAACTGCAGCCCGCATATCCTCGCCCGAATGTCTCAATAGATTGATTGATTCTCATTTCATCACCCGACATTGTGCAACCCACAGATGGTGGGTGCTAACTGTCTAAGACTATCGTCTCCAAGCTGTACAGTCCTGAACTAGAACGGTGACATTGGACATATCCAAGAGTTGCAAACAGGCCGCCTCACTCATAATTCCATCCTCTGATCGTCACAAACTGGGCTTGTAGCGTGTTTACTTGAACGATTGCAACTCGACTCTGATACAAGTTCAGAGCTTTGACTGTTTTATTGGAGGATTCGAGCTCTTCCAAGCCGCAGCCGCGTCCTTCAACTTTTGACACTTGACTGCGAGCGCTCCATGTAAGTGTCTATAGACACTGCCGGTATCCACCCATTTACGATCTTTCCTTTGCGGTAGTCAAAGAACAACACCCATTCCGAGGACTCGGCCACTGGTCCCTGTTGCGGGAGGAACCACATCACGGCTGTGATGAAGTGGCGATCGGGCTTGACCTGTCCGAGACGGGTAGCTCCAAATGGTCTAGGACATGACTTGTTGGATGGGGTGACATGACTTGAATAATTCTACCGTCCAACGACTCAGCAGACTGGAAAATTCGGACGGAGGCACAAGATTAACCGAGTCTGGAGAAAGTACGGACCTTTGATGTTCACCGTCAACTACTTCACAATCACCCCAACACCGGCCGTATCTAGACCTTCGTCCACATTTTCGCCAAGCTGCGCCCCAAAGCTGTCGAACACGCGAAAGTTGCACGCGGAAGCCAAGAGTAAGACCTCGCGTTCGTTATGTGGCTAAACGGATCCTAGTCATCAGTCCCATGTGACTCCTTTGGCACACGTACGAGATGTAAGCAAAGACGAATAGAAGCGTCTAGATTCAGTTGGGGCTACGTACATGCTTGATCATAGTGGCCTGGTCTCAGCCATGCTGTATGAGCTGCTTTAGGGGGCTTATTCGTGGGGGTTCACCGTAAGAGCATACCTATCTCCAGGCGCTAAATGAGTAGCTTATGAGACAGTGGTGCTCAGGGTTTGCTTGGTTAATGGAGGTGTGTTGACTGGAACAGGCGGGTTGTCGGGAAATGGAGGGAACTATGAGTGAGGGAGATTAAGTAGTCTGCTCGATGCTCGGAGCTCAAATTTTAGCTGATTAATTGAGCAAGGATTTTTGAGATTCATGTGATTCATTGTTCGTAGATGCCACAAAAACATGGTATAGAGTCCGGCACTTTTGTGTCACTCGACTTGCTGCCGTCAGCTTACTGCATGCTATTGGCATGAAGCTGAACCTAATGTGTGTACTGAGGACGAAGGAGATACAGTCGTGTTCTGTAACCCAGAGTTTCTTTTCCAACGAGTTTGATCGAATAGACACAACATGTTAACATCGTCGTCAAGGTTAGATAAAGCTACTGTAGCCTGTAGTCCATTGCGAAGGACACATTCGCCGACAGCAAGAGTCCTCCTCGCTTCGTCTCATCATTAAGTATTTCCGTCAGATCGTCCATGTGTTTAACTTGAGCATCAAAATGAGCACGATGCGGGCATATTTCGTGTTGAGTTTGAACAACACCCCCATGCGGCCCGAACAGGATATACTTGATCAGACCAAGAGATCGGTCATGAAGTTCAAACGATGCGATCCACGTTGAGATTAAGAAGACATCCAATTTTGATTCAGAATTGATTAACGATGCACGTGAGTTTGGGCTTAAGAGCTCTTGTAGCTGTAAAGCTTGGACGGAAGGGGATCTTCGCCAATGTCTCGGGAAGGCGGATACAAGCGGCTTCACAAGAACTTATTGCTACAAAACATATAATATATATAACGCTAATCAAAACATATAGAATGGTCATCAAGCGAGACATGCAAAGAAACCAAGCGACGATGACAATCTAAGGATCCCACCAAATGTCTTTCGCGTGTCAAGATAATCTCTTATTAATAAGGTGACTGAAACTTCACTCCCGGCTTTCAAAACTTGAAGAATTCTCAAGGTAAAACAGTGATTAACTGTTGACTAGTCTTCAGAGGGGAAGGGGGGGTGGGGGGATATTCGGGATTTATTAATATCGTCTATGACGCTTATGTATTTCACTGCGGAAACAGGTAAAATCCTTATTCACGGTGCCCATTTCATAACCCATGGACTGAAGTGCCGAGAAATGATTGGGGTGATGACCAGTTTCTCGTACCTGTAGAATGCAGGGCCCAATGTATGTGGGCGTCAATCTACATAAATTCTGCGAGTTTCCATTTAGTATCAGCCGGAGGAGTCGCTGTCCATCCATACTTTTATCTTGTAGAATTTCCCAACATTCGATCCCAGTTCGCGATGGGTCTGCCTTTTCTTGATAGAGAAGTTTTGGTACTGCTATTGGACAATCGGCCGGCTGAGCCAGAAATTTCATTACGGAAGATGACCCCAAGACTTTTTGAGCAGCCTCGATGATTAATGCCAGGATAGCAGTGTTGTTGACTTCGAAAAGGATGTCCCCTTGTATCACCACGTATGGAATACTCTTTTGCCGAATGATTGTGACCCGGTTTGCCGTCTGTGAAATGGAAATAATGTATTTTTGACCCCTGAAATCTTCCAGTACCTTTGCCGACAAGAAGGAATGAATGGCCTTCACTATATTTGGGGACCATGCCAATTTATGTTTGTCCTCCGTAATCTGGCAGTTGCGTTTCCACTGCATGAGTTGTTCTAGCGAGTGAGTCAAAAGACAACGCCATGCATTTGAAATTTCCCTGGAGCAGGCTAGCTGGAGTGGTCGAATTGTACCATCATTGAACCCTTGCCGGGAGGTAGAGTACTTTCTCAGTACTCTTTGAATCATTGAGAGCTGACAAGCATGGCTTTCCTGTACCCCCCACCGGATACCATCGCACCCGCCTCGCAGAGCCAGCGACTCCACCCGGGTAAGGTCTTCAACAACTATCGTCTCTGACTGTAGCGTCTCTTCGGCCCAGGTGGCAAAGACGGCGGAACCAAAGTCGAAAAACGCTGCTGCTAGGAAAATATGATGCAACTTTTCTGGCTTTAGATCTCTGCCACAGTTTTCGAAGTCTGAGCATATCGTCTCAAAACACCGATATATGAAGGAAAGCAGATTTTGTGTGTTTCGGCTTGATGTAATTTTGGCCAGATGATGATACGGAAAATAGGTCGGATACGAACGTTGGATTAGGGTGTGTTCTGGTACCGACATGGAGTTGTGGGTGGACATAGTGGCTGGAATATAGGTTCGACTAATGATACGCTGTAAGATTAGGTCTGTCTTGACTACACGCGAGAAGCGGTCGTCTATCTTCGGGATATAAGCGCCAAAAAGTTCTTTGCCCTCCTCGCTGTTGCAGATGAAATCGACAGCTGTCCGGTGTGTGAAACGGATGCCTGTTTCCCCCCAAGGCTGAAGTCTGCTCTTGTGAAGATTGGACGAGGAGAAAGCTTCTTCAGGTTCGATTATGTCCAGTAGTCCGGCACACATCGCTGATAGTGACTTCCCTAAGCGGTGCCACTTTTTCCAGAGCACTACCATGTCGGGCGTCTCGTGTTGGGATGTGAAGGACTCCAGTATCCCATCATCTGTAGAAATGACAAGACCGAGAAGGTTGTCTATATGCCCCCAGGCGTAACTGCCGTCATAGGAACTCTTGAGTTCCATTGCCATATAAAAAATCAACACTGTTTTTCTTCGATAGAGGTCGCTGTCTTCTTTCATTCGGCACCACATTTCCTTATACAGCTTCGTAAGGTCTTTGGGCAGGGACTCCACGCGACTGTAAAGAGTGTCCATATCATCGTAGTTGGCGAGACCTCGTCGGAGACTACCTAGAACAAGGATGACCCAGATGAAAACTCCTTCAGCCTTTTCACAGATATGTTTGAATAAATTGTTGGTTGCGTCGTCGTCGAGGTCAGTATCCATGGCCGCAAGTCGCTCTCGCGTAAGCAAGCAAATGTCTCCATTAGTCAGATCCTGAATTCTAAGCATAGGGTTCTTTTCGAGTACGCGCTTCAAGGCTGGCTCAGGGCGGCTAGAGACACAGACTTTGATTTGGTTTGCAGTGAAAAGGTCGTCAATGAGGCCTAAAAGTCGGCCAGCTCCTTTGTCCGGTGCATCGGCGATTTCATTCAAGCCATCCAAAAGCACCAAGTGTAGGAAAGCCGAGTTTTGTATCAAATCCGAAAGAGTTGTCTCAAGCTCTAGTGTAGTCCAGTCGGTATCTGCATCTTTCCTCGATATAAAAGGCTGCCTCTCTAAAATTTCCATTGCGATTCTCTTGTCTTCGGACAGAACTTGATGGAGCAGAGAGCAGAGCAGTCCTTTGATGCTCTGCTGCATAAACGTGCCAGGTCTCCACAAATAATGTGATATACAACGAATTGCCGATTTGCAGTGTTTGATGGTATTTGTTGGTATACACGTGGGCAGGTCAGACCTTTCGGTCGCGACGAGGTCAATAGTCGAGGTAGGTCTATTGCGCGTATGTGGAAGCGGAAGATCGTGGGCAGAGCCCGCGATCCCTCGGTGGGTGTAAGTAGGTCGAAGGGTCCGTCTGCACGGGCCCAGACTGCCTACCTACCTCCCCTACCCAACCGTCTACCTAGACCCCTTTTTCTGCCTTGCCAATCCAACAGTGTTGTCATTTGTTTCGACGTATTCATTAGTATACTTTTCCCCGAGCCAGGTTTGCCCCTGATCCAGTAAACTTTACGAGTGTCATCTTTCAACCAGTCGACCAAACTGTCCCAAGGCCGAGGTTCAGTTGGTCGAAGAGAACGAGTTGAGGTTCTTGAGTTGCCCAACGGCTCAACTGACTCTCCTGACTGAATGCTCGTCGTGTGAACATCAGAAGATTCGTTGGCCTTTGAGTCCTCTCTGGACGTCATCCTCTGTGAAAGGGCGTGCTGAACATCCTGGGCAGACGATGAAACATGATTCTTGATAGAAATCTCATGACTAGAGAGTTTGAGGGACACGTGTGACTTGATTGCATCCTGCGTCTTCGAGGATTCCGCGGTGACATGGTCTTGGATCTGCTTCGTGTGTGTCTCAACGACAGTTCGAAGGATGCTACCAGATTTCGCATAATCTGTAATGAATTGTTTGAGCTCTTGACTCAGATCCAGGAAACCCTTCTCGTTCATTTTGTAGAGAGCCTCTGCTCTGGCCAACAGACGCTCGAGAATCGACGTATCAATGAGTCTCTGCGCGTCATCCAGATCCCCTTTGAGTCGCTCAAGTCTCCTCTTCCTCCACAATATCTTGGGCGCCGCGACTAATGCTCCAAGTTTGCCTGACGGATTAGGAGACAGAAACTTCATCTCCTCCTCCAAGTCTCGGGCATTCTTGATACATTTCGCGGTAAGTTCGAGAATTCGCTTCTCCATTGTCGGTGCTCTGATGGTGGCGGCAGTCGGAGCGGCAGCGGCAGCGGCAGCAAGGATCGGTCGTTTATCCAAAGACTTCTCCAAACTATCGCAGACGGCTTTGAGACTCTCGGCGTGTTCTGAGAGACTAGGTTCCGGCGAACCGCTCTCGTAGACACGTCTACACATCGAGATGGCCTCGTGGCCGAATCTGATGAGCTGCATGACGTTGCAGGCGAGGCTCAGGCCCGCGATGCCTTCGAGGCCGGACATGGCGGGCCGTCTGGGGTGACTAGGCCAGTAATTACGGTAGGATAGTTCGAGTAAAGCAGGATCAAATGCTTGTCGGTAGCTATTATCGCGTGAGGTATCGGTCCGCGTGGTCCACGCCGAGGGATTTGAGCAAAGGGGGAACAGACAGTAATTAGACACCCAGAGACAGGCCGACGGAAGAGATGAAGGAGGGAAGATGAATGTGGAGGGAGAGTTGGAAGGGACGTCGGTTGGGGCCGTTGCTTGGCAAGACGCAGCCTGATCATGAAATGGCAAGTTCGACCTCATTGGAGGAACCGCGCCTCCCTCGTGATCTGACAGGCGTTCAGAGACACCCAATCAAGTTCTAGTTGCTCATGCATTGCAAGATTGGACCAGTTGAGGTGCAGTGCAATTTTCACGAGAGACTCGTGATTGGAGATTACCGTGAACAGCTCTGAGCTTCAGTATATATCTAGTCCAATACTCCAACTGATATCAAACCGGCCAGCAAATAAGCAGGCAACCAAACGTCATATATCTCATGCGTCCTTTCTACCGTAACAACGCTCTGGTCATCTACTTCCTCGAATGCACCATCCGTCCCTTGACCCAAACCGTCTTGGTATTCCGATCATCCCCATTAAACACCCACTTGGCAACCCGATTCTCCCAGCTCTCCCACCCAAACACATCAACATTCCCATCCTCCTCCTGCTCCCCATCCTCGTCGACAACAGGCAACCCAATAAGCTGCGCATCCCACTGCAAACCAACCTCAAACCCGCCAATCTTCCCACCCAGCCCAACAACCTTGGCACCGCCCCTCGTACCGAGATACAACACTTCCTCAACCGTCAGCTTAGCCCTCTCCTTCTCCTCCCCCTTCAGCCCCATCGCAACATGCCTCGACACCAACGCAGCCTGCCTCGCCGCCTCGAGTATACTAGGGCTATACCCACCGCTCATATCCGTCCCCAACCCAACATCAATACCCTTATCCCACAACCACCTCACTCTCGCCGCACCACTGGTAATAGAGCTGTTACTACATGGACAATGCGACACCTTCGCGCCCCGCTCCGCAATTGTATCCGCCTCCTTCTCCGACAAATGAATCGCGTGCGCGAGCACCATTTTCTCCCCCAACAGCCCATGGCTGTCATACACATCCGTATAACTCTCCGCCTCCGGGAACAACTCCTTCACAAGCTCAATCTCCCCCTCATTCTCCGAAATATGCGTCTGCGCGAGCACATCCAACTCCCGCTGCAACCCCGCCAGTCCCCTCATCGCCTCCCCAGAACAAGCCGGCGCAAACCGCGGCGTCAGCACCGGCGCAACGAGCTCAAACGCCGGGTCGATCTGCCGGATATGCTCCACGCTCGCCCTCGTCTTGCGCAGCGAGTCGGCCGCGGACTCGTCCTTGTAGTACTCCGGGCACAGACCCTCGCGGTCCATGCATACCCTCCCCACGAACGCGCGCTGCCCGAGGGCGAGGCAGATGTCGGCGAGGAGGTTTGTGGCGGCGACGTCGATTGTGGCGTAGTATGCCGAGGTGGTGGTGCCGTGGGCGAGGGTGCGTTTCACGCAGGCCGTGTAGACCCGTTTTGCCTTTTTCTGGTCGGCGAGAGAGGATTCGAGGGGGAAGGTGTAGGTGTTTAGCCAGTCGAGGAGGGTCGACTTGCCAAAGATGCCGACGTTTGGGTATTGAGATGCGTGGACGTGGGTATCTGGTGGTGGGGGTGGTTAGCTCTGGGTACGATGTCTCACTATGGGGTGGGAGAGCACCCCGAGACAGACGATCTCTGTCCCGGGCACACGAAAAGAAAGAACGAGTCTGAACATACCGATAAACCCAGGAAAGAAAAATTGCCCCTCCTTGCCAACACAAACCTCGACATCGCCAACTGCCCACCCCAAGCGCGGCAGAACCTCCGCCTCGGCTCTCTTCAAATCGCACTCCGCTTCGACAGCTACAATCGTTCCAGCGGCATCAACGCAGACGGCCGCGCCGTGGAGGTACTCGAGCTGCTCCTTTGTCTTTGAGTGAATGAATGAGCCGAGGAAGAGCTTATTGCGCGGCTGCGACTGCGCTTGCGTGGGAGTATGAGTTTCGGTCGCTGTTGCGCCGGCAGCGGCGGGCGGTAGGTCCCGGATCATGTCGCCCATTATTGTACTGCTAACCGGCTATCCTTTTGACCAGTGTCGGTATTGAGCTTCTCTAGAAAATAGGGTAGAATTCGAGGGTTGAGTGGTAGAATAGCTCGCAGGTAGTTGTGACGTCGGGATAATCTGTCTTCGGTCTTTGGCTGTCGTCGGCAGAGTCGGCGGTTGAAACGTAAACCCCCACCGCGCGATGTTCTCTCTGTCTTCTTTATTTCCAATTCCCGATGCGCTTCAAAAGACGCAGGTGATCGCTGCTGCTGACAATTTCCTCTCACGAGACTATCACAAGAAGGATAACCAGAATAGCAATTGCTGCGTCAATGCCCTCAAAGAATAGCAGTCACGGGATGTACGTTGCAAAAGGTAGTACGGAAGGATGAGGTAAGTAAGGCAAGGCAGAACAGGATAAGGTAAGGTAAGTAAAAGATGGGTATCTTCTCTTCGGTTCAAGTTTCCCAAAACCCCTCTCTTCAAAAGCAAGAAAAAAGCGAAGGGGAAAGAAAAGGAAGGGAAGGGGAACACGGTAGATATATGCAGTGCAACAGATGACGCGAAGCCAAAGAAAGCATGTGCTTCGCGTCCTTTGGTCAAGGTTAAGGTAAGAAGAGGTAGTCCGCCCGGCGGCCGTCTCCTTCCACGTTCGGGTCTGCCCAGTATACCCCCCAATTTACCCCTCCAAGAGATAAGACGCGGAATACGGAGACGGACTGATTGACAGGGGAGGGGCCCAGCTCGACGGGACTAAGAGTCAAAGCAAAGAAGCTTTCCATTCCCAGTGTAGTTTCTTCCATGACTACCCAAACCAACAACAGAAACAAACTAGTCAAAAGTTCTAGAATTGGATTTGTTGGGTTACAATTGCATACCAGTCTTCTCGAGGTACGGAACTGCGACCCCAAACTGCTGCCAAACACCACCAATGCGCGCCCCGCCCCCCACTTCGCAGCGCACCGGCCGCCCGTCGCACGGCGCTCGCCGCTGGCCGACCTCAGCTTTCGCGCCCTCGGCTTGACTCCATCCGGATAGCTCTCCAGAATTCCCCCCACAGCTCTTCCTCCAAGCCACATCCCGTACCCCTCGCTCTATTCAAGCCACCGCCTGATAAGTCTGATAAGCTCCACTGGAGGCTCCTTTGTTCGTCAGGGCGGCACAGCATGGCCGTGTCTTACTCTTGGGACACTCGTAGATAGCTACCACATGGTCCTCCACCGCCATCCCGACTCTTCCCAAAGTCATCATGTTCTCGTCTTCCCCTCGAGGCGGGTAGTCGAACCCGTCCCGCCCTTCCGTCCCTCCGCATGCTGCGCCATTCGGGAGAAGCATCTGTGTTCCGGGTCCTTGCAGTCACTCTTCGTAGATCCCCCGCTGTCAAAATAGCTGCTGTGCTTGCCGGCTGCCACTAGTTTTCCAGTCATCAGTCATTGTATCACCCTCTTCCTTGTTTGCCCCGTCGGACAAAGCAGTGCCATCGGACATTTTATCACACGCCTCTCGGAAACTTTACACAGCTTGTTGAACTTTGGTTGCTCTATTCTCTTCTTGTGCCACAATTAAAACTTTAGAATAATAAACGCCCCAAGCATTTCATGTAATGACCAAACACAAAGCTTTCTAAAACGCAGCAAGATAAAACAGTCATCAAGAAACCACATCCCTAATTTGTACAACCCTTACGCCGTCTAGAGTCATTCAATGTCCTCCTCCGCCTTTTTGTCATTCGTTATACCGTAAGCCCGATTCCCCTTCTGTCAATTGCGCACACACAGCTTATGCCGCGGCGCCAGGGCCCTCGTGCTCACCAGCGAGGCCGCTGACCCCGTTGGGGCCAGGGCCGTCCTGGGTGTACTGATCCCAGTTCGCCAAGATTTGAGCAATCTTGGGCGAGTTGGTCAGCTTGTACACATCCTCAAAGTACTCCTTGGTGATGGCGAAAGGCTTCGCCGTCACGTTGGGGATGTATTTGCCAACAAGCTTGGCGGGGTCGATCGTCGTCTTGTTGATCTTCTTGAGAAGGAACGATCTGAAAGGCTTGACGCCAGACCGCAGGAAGGTCGAGTGGAAAGGCACATCGATACCGCGGAGAGGAATCGTTGCGAAGCCACGCTGGAGCTCCAGGGGCGTGGGCTTCTTGAGCGTAGCCTCGGCGCTGCCCTTGATGATCTCCTTGAGAGCACCCTTGGCCTCGTCAATGTTGCCACGCATCTCCTCAATGTCGATCTTCTGTTGCTTGAGGAAGTTGGTGACACCAGTGAGAGTGTCAAGCGCGCGCAGGTCACCAGCAGCGACGTACTGCATGTTGGCAATGTTGTAGTTGACAATCTCAAGGAGCCAGCCAGTCTCCTCAGAGATGCAGTCGACAACGAACTGCAGAGCCTCCTCGTTGAAAGTCTTGGAAATTCTGCTCGGGTTGATGGCGCACATGGAGTAGTTGGATCGGCCAGCGGCGTCACGCTCGACAGCGACTTGCATAGTCAAGCCACGGTAGAAGACGACCGACACCAAACTTTCAATGGGCATGACCTCGGCCAAGGCGGCGAGGGCAGAGTACTCACCCAGGGAGTGACCAGCGAAAGTGCAGTCGCGGGGAACAAGACCCTTGGACTTCATGTCCTCAAAGCTGGCCTTCTCCATGAGGGTAAGGGCAGGCTGGGTGAACTGAGTGGCGGACAGCAGGCCAGTGGGCGAGCGGTAGGTGTAAGAGGTGGTCTTCTCGTCAATCTCCTTGAAGATGCGCTCGGACTTGATGCTTCCATCGGCGGCAACAGTCTCAAAGGTCATGGCCATGTAGTTCTGGCGGATGGCCTTGCCGCGAGGACCACCGAAGTAAACGGTGAGCTCCTTCGGGTTGTTCTTGACAATGTTGGTGATGGAGAAGCCGTAGTTGTCCAAGAGGTACTTGTCGGCACGGTCCCAGACGTCTTTGGCGACGTCACTGCTGGCGTACAGCTCCATACCCATGCCCTGCTCCTGAGAACCTTGACCGGTGAAGACGTAGGCAGTCACGGGCTGCTCAACCTCGGCCTCACCGAGAAGAACCTTCTCCTCAGTCTCCTTGTTGCTGGCCTCGACCTTGATGATCTTGCGGCCAGAAACCATACCAACGTGCTGAAGCTTGACCTGAAGGTCGTCGTTGGGGAGGACCATGCCAACCAGAGAAGCATGGAAGCTGCGAACACGACCAATGTTGTTCTCAGCAGCCCAGGTCTCAACCAAGCTACGGACGGCTGCACTGGAGTACATGCCGTGAGTAATGGTGCCGGGGAGGGCAGCGTAGTTGGCAAACACGCGAGAAACGTGAATGGGGTTGTAGTCACCAGAGACACGAGCGTAGTTCTCGTTGGTGGCAGGGGCGCGAAGCTGCAGGGGGGTGCGACCGCTGAGAGGGATGGGGTTCTCAAAGTGGAGGGGCTGGTCGAGAGGGGCACCAGTGCGCTCGAGGTAGTCGACAACGGGGTTGCCGTTGGACTGGCCGGCCTCGTAATCAACGCTGGCGACCTGGATGATCTCCTTGGTGGGGAGCTCAAGAAGAACTTGGCCCTGGGTGGAGACGCTGCTGTACATCGTCTTGGTCTTGTAGCGGTAGAAGCTCTGGAGACGGAAGGTAAGCGTCTGTCCGAGAAGGTCGAGGTCGCGGGGCAGGTCATCAGTGTTGAACCACTGCTTCGACTTAAGAACAGCAACGTCCTTGCTGGTGGCCAAGTGAAGCTGGATGGGCGTTTCCATCTTGCGCTGGAAGGTGTTCTCGTAGTCGGTGTAAGCACCGCGGTACAGGAACTGAGAGGTGACGTCCATGACAGCCTCACCATCGCGATAGATGGTGCCGCAGACCTCGACCATCTTACCAGACTCCTGGTTGATAACGGCGTTGATCTGAGCGGTGGTGGAGACCTCATCGCCCTTCTTAAGAGGCTCAGCACCAGGCTTCATGCGGAACTCGTTGGACAAGTGAACAAGCTTGAGTAGGTCACCGTCAATGGTGCGAGGGAAGATGGGCTTAGTGATGGCCTTCCAGCCGACGACAATGGCGAAATCCATGGGAGCGTAGACAGTCTTGCCGGGACGCTCAACGAAGGCCTCGCCAGTGTTGCCAACGGCGTGGATGAAGTCGTTGATGCTCTCACCGGTGATGGTGGCCTTGCCACCGTCGAACTTGCTGCTGACATCGGCATCGAGGTTGAAGGTCTCGTCACCGAACCACGCACGCCAGTAGAACTCCTTGATGCGGTCGTTGCGACCCTCCATGACTTCGTGGATCGGGGCGTAACCGGCCTCAGGGTGGTAGGTGAACTTGAGAGGCAGGGCAACGGGCTTGCCAAGAGCAGTGGTGTCCTTAATCATGTTGACAACGATCTCGTTCTTGCCCTCCAGCTTGACCTCGATGACATCGACGTACTGGTTGTGGCGAGGCTGCTCCTTGACAATGATCTTGGTGTTCTTCGCATCCTTGGGGTTGTGGATCTCAACGAAGAGACCGCGGGTGGGTGCGAAGATACGCTTGAGAGGGTTGGTCTGGAACTTTTGGCCCTGAACAACAACCTCAGAGGTCAAAAGAGCGTGGCGCCAGCTGCGATCGGGACCGGCAAGCAGGGCCAGCCAAGCATCGAGGCTGGGAAGGGTCGCGGAAGGCGAGGTGGAGAGGCGGTAGGTGTTCTTGTGGGCATCATCGTAGGAGACGGTGAGGCCATCAACATCCTCGACAGGGATCTCAGTCTCGATGAGCTTGCCACCAAAGTACTCAATGGTAGGAATGGCCTTCTTCTCGCCCTTGTAAAGGTCTCTGGTCAAGTACTCAACGTGCGTCTTGTGAATACCGTCAAGGATGTCCTTGATGGGCTCGTCAATGACCTTGGAGAACTTGACAGCAGTAGGTCCCTGGAGAATGCAGGTACGTCCAACATCCTGGCCAATGACGGCGCCGAGGTCCTCAGACTGCCACAGGGAGTCCTTCTTGAAGTAGAAGTCAAAATTCTCATCCAGGGTAGGGATGAAAGTGACGGGCTTCT